GAAATGTTCAGCATCATCAGGGTGACTGTTTATCATAGAACTATAGGATAGTTTGGATTGAAGGGAGCTTAAAGCTCATCCAGTTCCAGCCCCCTGCCACAGGCAGAGACACCTTCCACTAGAGCAGGTTCCTCCAAGCCCCTGTGTCCAACCTGGCCTTGAACACTGCCAGGGATGGGGCATTATCTTGTACTCCTGAGCATTGGGACTTTATCCATGTAAAGGAGCAGAACTTGGAGACCTTCACTGAGTAGTTTGTGCTGAAGAATAGTCCTGAAACTACTGGAACAGGGGAGAGAGCCGACGCTATTCCTAACAACCCTCTTGGAATCTTGACTTCTGTCTTCAGAAAACAGTAAACTTCCCATTGGTCCAAGGATTGCAATAGGAAGGTAAGAGAGTTGCAGTGGGGAGAAACTTGGAACAGCTGATAGCTTGTTTCATGTGCTTTTCTTACATGTAAGGTGGAGGCTCTGGGTGTCCTCCTCCTGTGCTGGAGCAGCTGTGAGCAGAAGCGTGTAACTCGGATGCAGTAAAACTGTTTCAAAGCCCTGAATTTGTAAGTGCTGTGACTTTCCCTGTTTCTCAATGGGGTGTTTGTAATGCCCTGACAGTGAGGTTGCTTTCCTGGTTTGTTTTAGTTGCGGCTGGCATTGAGGCGCTGCTGTAGGAAGCCGGGAAGCCTTGTTCTTTATGAAGCTGGTAGAACAGCTGTAGCTCTATCCATCACTGGGATAAATAGGAGTCCAATAGAAGAGCCGAAAGCTTTCTTCCTTTAACTGGCAAACATAACCAACATCCTTCATTATAAGCCTGTCACTGAGTTATTTAGAAGATTAAATGTTCTTGCCTACATTTTTTTTCATGGAGTTGCTATCTTCCTCTGCACAGAAAAGAAAACCTTAAGTCAGATGTTGAAAACAACTGACATCAGACACAAGCTATTCAAGAAAGCCTCCCCAGACACTGGTTTGTTTTCCTGCCACCACGATCCCAGCCTGATAGCTGGCTGTATCCTGGTGGGTCCGGAGCGTGTTCTCAGCGGTGTCAGCGTGCCTTTGACGCAAGATGGCCACCAGGAATGCCGTGTGTAAATAACTTCAGGTTTGCTTCCAAGGGGTTCCTTTGAGAGCTGTGGCCCAGTTCATAGTGAAGAAGGTGCCATTCCTTGGAGTGTTTGTTTACTATTTACTGAGGTCAGCAAAGTGAAGAGTAATTATGGGATACAGACTGCAACAGGCACCTGATGTACGAGAGCTCCGGGGTGTGAAATTGAAAAGCTAAGTGGCTTCATGCTATTGTTTGCTTGATAAAGACTCCTAATGTGTGGGTAACTCTTGAAGATTTCTTTATTTCTTCATAGCCATTTAAACTTTATTTAAGGGAGGCTTTGCATGATGTTCTGACCATGGAAGAGCAAATCCTGACAACACAAATCTAGCTTGAATTTCCTGGAGATGGCATTTCTTTAGAAAAGAGCCATGAGGCTCATAATATGGCAAATGACTTCCTATCCGTGTAGTGGCTTTTGACTAGGCAGTGATAAATAACTCCTTTGATTTTCAGAGGCTTTGTATGAGTTGGTCTTCCAGGTGTTTGGATAGACCCTAACTTCGAAAGCAAGCCCCAGTTTTTCAGAGCTGTCTTTGTCTTCAGTTCGGAAGCATGTTTGATTTGGGGCACACCAAACCTTCCAGGTAAAACAGTGCTGGTCACTGCTCTCTCCTGTGATGACAAAAGGGGAAACTCTGAAACAAAGGTTCGATGGATCAGAACAGTGCAACTCGGTGGTGTGTAGTTGGAAGGAGATGTGTTGTAAGTGAAGATAAAGTTGGTGCTGTACAATTGCAGGTCCTGTTGGCAGCCAACGCTAAGGACTGGAGATGTGCGTGCTAATGAACCTAAGAAAGATAAGGAGAAAAGGGCCGTGGTGCTCCTGCCAAAGTATTAATCCTTGCTGTGGTTATGAAGATCAAGTATCTTGTTCAGACTTAAAAATCAGTTTCTCTTATGCTTACAGTAAAAGGTTGACAGATGTGGTCATAACTACTCAATTAAAACAGCATTCCTTAGCGCTTCCCTGGCTTTACGCTGAGACCCAGGAAACGCTCTGTGCTCACAGAGGGGCCAGTGGTGCAGGAGCAGTGTTCATCAGTCTTTGTTAGTGCAGCAGGCTGCCTTGATGAACAGTTCATTAACCAGGAGAAGCAGAATCAGTCTTTTAATACACTTGCTATAGCAGCTAGGCCCTGACAGCAAGCAAAAAACAACTCAGGAGGCTACTCTGAGAGCTAAAACCTTGCTGCTGGTCTGAAACTAATCTTTTCCCCCTCCTTCCCAAGCCTTTGGGTAGCAGCATTCATTAAAACACTTCTCCAAGCTGTCATTTAAGAGAACTGTGCATGTAGGATCTCATGGTTGTTGAGCAGATAGTTCAGCATAACAAATGGGACAATAACATACACACTGAGGAAGAAAAGCGCCCAGACTCTCCTCGGCACCTCTCAGGATTCACCGTGCCATTAATTGTTTCATTGTAAGAGGCGTAAGGTTGAGGTAACAGTTAAAACAAATAACCAGGAGGCATCTGGCAGCGTGCAGATCCCTGGCACGCTGCTTGGAATGGGGCAGACGTGTTTCCAGCGGTTCAGGCACGCTCGGCGGTGCCTTCAGAGCGATGAATTCCCTAGGAACAAATGAAATACTGTGGGTTCTTTTCCCCCTGAGGTGTTGGGAAGGGGGGGGAACGAGCCCGATGAATCCCTGCTCGCTGTAGCTGCGGATCTGAGAGCTCTGTTTCTAGCAGGAGTTGTTGCAGGATCCACCTTAGGGCTCGGAATGGATTTGCACCGCAGCAAGCACACGGGGGTCATTTGTTGCTCTCCTCCTTCCACCCCTTTCCCTGCTTCTATGGGTTTGGGGCTCACTGCTTCAGCCAGACGTTTGAGGCTTCATGAAAGCAGCCAACAGTCGAGGTTTTGGTGCTGGCATCTAGAGCCTGATGTCTCGTTCATCCAAGCCCTCCAGGAAATGAGAAACATAAGCTGCAGGTATGTTTGCGCGTCGACTGGAACACGGAGGCCTCCCAAAGCCTGCTCTCCTCCTCAAAATGGCTGCCAGATGTGTTGGCTCTACTGAACTCCCCGGAGCCTGACACCAGAAGCACTGAGGTTATTGCCACTTTGGTCTTCCCTCAGTCTTCCAGGCAGGACCAAGCGTGAGCCTGGGTGGCTGCGGTACCTGCAGGGTTTGCTGCTGGCACACTGGTGCACTCGGGGCAAGGCTCACTGGGACTCTGTTTAAACAAAGGAAGCGTGTTTGTTTTTACAGCTCAAGCTTGGGAGCCTGGGCTGGGATCCTAAGCCATTTCCCTGTGCTAGGAGCAAGATTCTGGAGGAAGGCAGCCTCTCCCTTTGCTGCCGAGCACAGCTCTTACCGGCCAACAAATACGTGTCTTATCGTCGCTGGCGTGGTGGTGCTGGAGGCTTCTTAAAGCTTAACTTGGGTTTGGCTTCATAACTGTCTGTAGGTGAAATAAACAGTATAGAGACTCCTGAGGTGAACCACAGTCTGGCTCCCCACGCTCATGTGGCTTCTTGGGCTGGTCTTGTAAGCTTGTAAGAGCGATGGGGTTGTTCAGCCTGAGAGGAGAAGGCTCTGGGGAGGCCTTAGAGCAGCTTGCAGTGCCCAAAGGGGCTACAAGAAACCCGGAGAGGGGCTTTGGACAAGGGCCCTTAGGGACAGGCCAAGGGGAATGGCTTGAACCTGCCCGAGGGGAGACTGAGCCGAGCTCTTAGGCAGAAGCTCTTCCCTGTGAGGGTGCTGAGGCGCTGGCACAGGGTGCCCAGAGAAGCTGTGGCTGCCCCATCCCTGGCAGTGCTCAAGGCCAGGTTGGACACAGGGGCTTGGAGCAAGCTGCTCCAGTGGAAGGGGTCCCTGCCCATGGCAGGGGTTGGAACTGGAGGAGCTTTAAGGTCCCTTCAACCCAACCCATTCTATGATGTTCCAGTCAGTGGGAAATGGAGCTTCTAGGTCCTGTGATAGCGCATCTCTCTGTTGAGTGTTGAGCACAAGGGAGCACTCTTGCTATGCAGCTGTCATCATTCCCCATCAGCAGGCAGAACTTTTAAAAGTATTATGTTAAGCCCCGCTGCATGGTAAGTGCCTGTTTTTCTGACAGCATGTACACTTCTTGTGCAACAGTCAGCACTTTGCTGAAATAACAAATCTTAATGATAAAGAGGTGTTGGAAAGTTCTTGGGCTAGTAGTAGGATCTGTAAGGAAAGTCTCATCTAACATATGCTGCTCTGCTTCTAACTGAGGAGAAGTGTTTCTCAGAATAATCCTCCTTACTCCTTCATGTAAGTTGCTTTGGTTTATTTCTAGCATCCAAATGAGAATGTCATTTTGATGTGATGCAGCTTTTATAGTAAGTACAAATCCATATGAGTAGGATGTATCTTGTGCTTCATAGCCAAGGCAAGCTGTATATGGTGACGCCTTTAAGAGTATTTGGGTTGCCTTAAGATAGAAAGTGGTTTCCACCATTAAGTAAGCATGCCCATGGATGGAGTACATGGGAAGCAGTGCATAGACTTCATGGCAGCTTGTTCAGTTGGACTCATACTGCAAATCCAGGGGATGCAAATGCCTGGATACATGACTGTGCTTGCTGCATGGGAATCTGTAGTCTTACGTGGAGTAATCAAGTTATTTCAGGAGGCATTGGTGTTAGGATGGAGGTGTATGTGTTGCACACAAGCAAATCTTTTTATCTTTGCTATTCAATTCTAAGGCTGTCTTCTAAAACTCTGGAGACGAGATGGGTGTTGTGGAAGGCTGCTTAGAGGTGTCCTCCTAGGTGGATATATGGGGGGACAAAACCAGGGAGCATCTGTTGGGAACAGAACCTGCAGAGCTCCCCTGACTCGGGGCTGGTACCCATGAGGAGAGGCCTTCAGAGATAACAATAAAGCATTGCTTTGTGCTTCTCTTGTAGCAACCCTCCGCTCAGTGAGGAAATGCTGCCTCCGGGGGAATGGATGTGTCACCGCTGCACTGTACGCCGCAAGGTAAAGCCTCTCCTACCAGCCATGATCCCTGCCCTTAACACTGCCTATTCGAAATGTGAACCCAGTGTTTTACAGCTTCCTCCCCTCTTAATATGTACATATGCACCACCAGGGTTACTCTTTGTGCTTGCAGTTGCAAAAGGCTTTGTTAGGAAGAGGCTTAAAGAAAACTAAAGGCTCTCGATGAGACCCTGCTGGTATTTTTAACCTCAGACTAGGAACCAGAACTGAAGTGCCTGACATGTTCTTGTCAGGCTGTGCCTTTTATACTGTTTTCCTTCTCCACACACGTCTGGGAAGGAGGGAGAGCTGAGGCACAGAGGAAATGGGAATGGCTCCCATGGTTGAGGAGGTGAGCTGTCTGCAGGTGAAACAGGAGTCACGTTAATGCAGCTTTGGCACCAGGGCCGTGATGCTGGTTAATGTGTGGGGGTTTGTCTTGAAGTGTGACTGCGCAGCAGTTGCACATCAGCAGAGGGTGAAATCACAGTGAGTTATGATTTCCTGGGCTGTTGAGCAGGACGGGAAGGAGGTGATTGAGCAAGACTGTGGCTTGTCTTTTTTCCTTGATGCTCTTTCTCCAGGAAGCCGTCTTGCACAATGTAAGCATCTTATTGCTGTGCCTACGTCAGGCAGCGTAGCAGAGGGTTTAGAAACTGCACCAAACTATCTAGCAACTGTTCCCTTGAAGTGACACCCAAAACAGATTGGAAGAAAACTGTGGATTCAGCCTTTTGTTCCTCAGTGGGTTGCCTTGTTGTTTCCAGGGTGCTGTTCAGCCATCTGCTAACAGTTAAAATGAAGGTTGCAAGTTGAAATATGATAATAAATATGATAATATAATAAAATAAGTAAAGGGGGGGGGGGGAGAAAACCAATTCCCAACTTCTCAGTTTAAAAAACTGCCTATTAACACACTTTGCTCCTTTTGCAGACCATTTTAGTGATCAAATAGATTGGTTCATCCACACTGGTGATGCTGGAGCAGTGCACAGTTGCCCGTGCTAGGCCATGCATTGTCCCCTCCTGGTGCAAAATGGACCTTGCAGTGATCCCAATGTATTGTTTTCCTCTACTGCAGTTCTCCCTGCCCACCTCATTCAGGATTCCTGTCGTCAAGAGATAGCAGAATGTTGTTTGTATCTTGTGCCTGTGTTCTCAAGCTGATCTTCTTGTTCTGTCATGGGTTTGGATGCACTGACAGGGTTAATAGAGTGCTTTGATAATGAACAGTCCACTGTGGAGTTTCTCAGTGTTGGTTAGCAGAGTAAATAGAGTTGTCTGATTTGCCAGGTATTTAGGCCTAGATGATGTGAAACGTTATCCTGATCAAATATGGCTGTCCTGAAAGGAGAGGGAGATGCTAATTTCCTTCCCCATGCTTGGTTCCCTTCAGCTGTTTCATCATCTGTCTGTTAGCTGCAGACAAACGGGGTTTGCTGAGTTAAGGCTCCACGGGGGAAGTTGTAGTAAGTGGCTTAAGCCTTTTCAGATGCTGTTTGTCTTCGATTGCATATTTGTCAAGGTTGATGTGCTTTGTTTGTGGCCTCCATGATAAGCCTGCCTATTCATGTCGTGCAGAAGCGAGAGCAGAAGAAAGAGCTGGGGCAGGTAAATGGATTGGTGGACAAATCTGGGAAAAGGACCACCTCCCCCACCAGTGACGCAGACCTGTTGGACAGGTCTAGCAGCAGCCTCAGGGCTAATGCGCATGCCAGGATCTTGGAAAGGAGAGCAAGCCGGCCTGGCACTCCCACATCCAATGCCAGCACCGAGACCCCCAACTCAGAGCAGAATGATGTCGATGAGGACATAATTGACGTGGATGATGACTCTGCCATTGCAGAAATGGACTGTGGGCAGCCCCAGCTGAAGCGACCCTTTGAGCTTCTTATTGCTGCTGCCATGGAAAGGAACCCAACGCAGTTCCAGTTGCCGAATGAACTGACCTGCACCACAGCACTTCCAGGTGAGTGATGGCTTGTCCAGTGCTGATGAAGATGTCTGCAGTTGCATCCTGCTGCCATCTTGCCTCTTTCCACTCCTTACTCCTTAGTAGTTGTGGCTCCAGTGGTGCTTGCTGGTGCAGAAGTACCCTTGGTCCTCCTCCAGCTCTCCAACAGTAGGTGGCCTTTCACATGTGAGCTGTGGGGACACTTCTGCTGCATGCTACACTCCATCGGTGTTTGTGATAGATGCTTGCTGTTGCCACCTTGATCTAGATCATCAGTCTGAAGAAATAAATTCCAACTGTCAAAATACTCAATTTTGATTTATGATATGATAATCTAGTAACAAAATAATGCCTTGATGTATGGGATGTCACTGAAATGATTAAGTATAAAATCCACCTCCCTTTAAAGACAGTCTGTGTCACTTAAGGCTAGATTTAGTGGTTGATAAGGATTCCTTAAGCAGCTCTCTTTGCCTTTTCTGTTTGTCTCTGCCCGAGATGATTATGTGCATCTGTCAGAAAGCAAATCGCTATGTGGGTAACCCAAAGCCTGTCAAATTTTACTTTCAGGTACTAGTAAGAGGAGGAGAAAGGAAGAAACCACAGGAAAGAATGTCAAGAAAGCACAACATGAGTTAGACCACAATGGTTTGGTTCCCTTGCCGGTGAAAGTCTGCTTCACATGCAACAGGTACTCAACTCTTCCAGGGAGGCTGTTGGGTGTAGCTACACCCTTCACAGGAGCAAAGTTCTCAATGGAAAACCACAGATGACCTGTTCCCTTTCCCATTCTCCTTCATTACCTGCTTCCAATCCTCTAAACAAACAGTGGAATAATCATCTTTGCTAACTAACAGATGTTTAACCATGGCAAGGGGAGGTGTGGCTCCTGCAGCCTTGTGTGGCTGTAAAAGGCTTTCAGATGTAGCCTGAAGAGCGTGAGTTTGTCTTGGGTATTTTTCTACTTTCTGAAGTGATGATGGTGTCGAATACAGAGGTATTTGTATATGGTTTGTGTGTGAGGAGGTGACCTTTAGGAAACAGGAGTCTGCTGAGAGAGATATAAGCCCAAGGCAAATAGGAATACTGTGCTGAAATAGTAAATCTGAAAACCAGTACAAAACACGGCTGGTTTTTATAACTGCAGGAAAAAAGACACCCAATTGTCTCCCAGTGCAAAATGTGAGTGAAACCAAGAAGCTTTAGTTCAGGACCCCAGTCAGTGAGTCTCTGGAAGTGAGCTGGAGACTCAGGTGGGGTTTTGTGGGGAGCAGCTGGTGACTTTGTCATAGGGTGAGGACTTTAAACCCTGGGGAATGAGATGCAGCTTTTTGGAGTGTGAGGCCTGTTCTGAGAACATCTTGTTGAAGTAAATGTCCCAGCTTCACACATGATTCATCTGAGTGGAAAAAAAAGGCAATGACCTAAACCTGAGATTTCCTTTTGATCTCTGAATTTTGCTCTAAATGAAGCCACTCAGAACTGACAGACAAGGTCAACCTGAAAAGTTGCTGATGTGAACCTGAGAGGTACTTGCAGCTTTCCAGCACCAGCATCTCTTCCTGCCACGGGACCTGTTCTGCTATGAGAAACCCTCATGTGTGTGGGCAAGTCCTTTTGCCTTCAGTGGGTCTTGCAGGAGGTCCACAATGATCAAGTTACAAATCAGAAGCCTAATTTTAGTTGCATGTAACAGAGTATAGGGGAATTGGTGGGGAAAGAGAAGCTCAAGTGGTTAGCCAAGCTTGCCTGTGTGTTCAGTTTATATTCTGTATGGGAAATAAGGCACGGTTTTGTCTTTGCAGGAGTTGCAGAGTGGCACCTCTCATTCAGTGTGATTATTGCCCACTCCTGTTCCACATGGATTGTCTGGAGCCACCGCTTACTGCCATGCCTCTGGGTAGATGGATGTGCCCAAATCACATAGAACATGTGGTGGTAAGCAAGGACTATGATTGCAGTATGGTAACCGGATGCTGGAGTGGAACCTGGCAGGTCCATTTAAAGGACAAAGTACAACAAATGTAAAGCAGCTTCTGAGCTCTTATTGCTCCCTGTAACGCTTGTAAAGCTCCTGCTGCAAGCAGCACACTCTCCAGAGGAATATGATGCTGCTATCTGCAATAAAATGTAAAGATGGGGAAACTCCTTCCTGTAACTGATGCTGACAGCTCAGACTGCGGCTCACTGACAGCGTGTCTAGTTTCCAGACTGGACTCCTTAAGATCTAGATGAGCTTTCCAGAACAGTGATACAAAGCAGCACAGTGCTACAAATAGGGGAAGTAATTCTTTGCATGCTTAACCCAAAAAAGCTTTCATTCCAATTGGGAGTTCTCATTTGTGGAAAAGCAGTGTGCTTGAGACTTAAATAGTCAGGAAACAGGGGGCTGAAACAAAGGGCTTGTGCCCAGACAGACTGCTTCTGAGAGCATTGGTGCTGCTTAGTAGGCCTCTAAATGCTTTTGTATTCATCTCCAGCAATGTGCCCTTTAACAGAAATGGTTAGTGCTGCAGGAAACAAATAGTCTAAAGCTGAGCTGATGCCAGTGCTACGAGGCGGTATGAAAGTCTTAGGGTACAGTAGAGTGACCTGCAGATCCCTAACTCCTGTGGCATTATCTGATCACCCAGCTGAACCAGAAGAACTTGACCCTGAGTAATCGGTGCCGAGTATTTGACCGGTTCCAGGACACCATATCTCAGCACGTTGTCAAGGTGGATTTCTTAAACCGAATCCATAAGAAACATCCTCCGAATCGCAGAGTCCTTCAGTCAGGAAAGAGGAAAGGGTTGAAGGTACGTGTAAACAAGTAGGTGTTGGTGAAAATCCCTGTGTGTGTATTCCAGTTTGGAAGGGAAGCCGGCACGCCCTGCAGGGATAACCTTCGGGGCAGGAGGAAGAGGGTGGGGTGTGGATGGAGGCGTTGGTGAGAGGTCTGGGAGTCAGCAGTCACTTGGAATTGAAGAACCTCGTTCTGCTGCCAGCCCTAAGGCTCAGCTATTACAACTAAGCCTTTAAATCTAGCACAAGCATCAAAAGTGCAACACACAGGGTCCTGAAGGTGACCCTACCGTCAGAAGTGGGGCTGCTGCATTAAACCTCAAAGAGGATTTGTTGCCAGAACACCTGAAAAATGCCATCCAGGTTTCCCTTCTTCTGTGGCCTTTTTTTTGGCGTGACTTCTCTTCTGCTGTAGCCACCATGTTGTGCTGAAGTCATGCCTGACCTAGGGGAATAAAAGCTATTAATTTCAGCATGGCTGCATCAATTTGAAGTGCTCAGTCCTTGAAACAGCTAATGTATTGTCTGCAGGGTTCCTTTGGGTCAGGAAGCAGGGAAGACGAAGCAGAGTGGTGGTTAGGCACTTTGTTTAACTAGTCATTCTTGAGTAATTGTTCTCATGTGTGATCTTCTTTCTCCACAATGTAGGTTCCTGATGCTATAAAGTCCCAATACCGGCTTCCACCCCCGTTACTTGCGCCTGCAGCAATTAGAGATGGCGAGCTGATCTGTAACGGGATCCCTGAGGAACCCTTGCAGAAGCACCTTTTGAACACTGAGCACTTAGCCAGCCAGACAGAACAACAGGAGGTAAATGAAGTCAAATGTTTGGACTCTGTGTCTGTAGTTTCTTTGGTACAAAGATCCTCTTCCATTTCAGTCATGATCAGAGCAGTTGTCTAGGAAACCAGTCTCAAAATCATGTCTGAAGGTGATAGCTTGTCTTGTCTCTGACACCCTTGCCCATTAAAACTTCATTTTGGCTTTCCAGGTGAAATGTAAAACTCCTCACTTGACACTTCAGGGAAGTGGTGAAATAGGCTCCTGGCTTTAAGAGTGGAGTCGAGGGCTTTCTCTCTAGATGTCATCTTTATTTCCTAGCTGAGGGAGGAATACTTTCCACTTTGATTATGTTAGGCTGCTCTCTGACACGTTTATTTGTACGTTAACATCACGTTTCTGGCCTGCTCTTTATTGCTGAGAGAATTGGACTTTTAAGCCAAGGTCAAGTGAGTGTTTAAACCCTGTGTGAAACTTCTTGCCAGATTCTGCAGCACGAAGGCATGTTGCTTTGCAGTCAGTGGTGTCATCCTGTCCTGTTAGTTCAGGAAGGGTGCTTCTATGTGGCAGGTGTATATTCACCACGCACCTTAAAACTAGGAATACATCTTTTGGTCTTCCTCTACCTTGTGAAAAGGAAAGGTGCTCTCCACCCCAGCTTTGGTGGGTGACTCCCAGTAACGTGAGGTAAATCAGTTGATCTTTCCAGCATGCTACAGAGAAAGCTGAAGGATTGTGTTTGGATAGAAGCCCGGATCAGTGAAAGATGTGTTTGTAACCAGCTGAAGAGTTGCAACACAAGTGAAGAGGGGAAGGAGGAGTTTGGGGCTGAGGAAGCCCGTCTGCTGCCTTCTCCCTCCTTTCATCTCAGCTCCCCTCTGTCCTGGAGATACACACTGCGTAACTTTGAGTGTGCGTTTGTGCCTCTGGACAGAGCTTCCTCCTGATCCTAGATGAGCATCAAAGCAGATGCTGTAGTGCCAGGCTGCATCCGAGCGCTCAGCAGCACAGTGAGGCAGCTGGATCTCTTTGAGCTGGGTGAACTGTGGAGTAGCTGTTGAGGTTTGGAGCACCGTTTGCCCGTGGAGCTAACCTGTGCTTTTTTCCTTCCTCCCAGTGGCTCTGTAGTGTTGTTGCGCTCCAGTGCAGCATATTGAAACATTTATCTGCTAAGCAGATGACTTCTCTTTGGGACTCTGAACAAACAGAGAAGGCTGATATTAAGCCTGTTATCGTGGCAGATGGCTCACTCGCCAACCCTTACCAGGCAGCTGACAAGGCACCCACACCTTCCCTCTATTCCATGTCATCCTGCACCTCAGGGATTACCACCCAGAATTCCTTGAGCTCCTCACAATCCCAGCAGACTTTGTCACAGGAAGATGTCAACTGCAGCTCTTGTATAGATAAATCCAAGAAGGTTTCTTCTTGTGGGACTTCCAACGGGCCGACAGCCTCTGACATTAAAGTCAACGGTCCTCATTTCTATGGCGTTGCGTCCGAATCTTCAGCACAGTTGACTGACTCCCAGAGGCTGGTGGGGTCTGGTAACACAATCCCTGGTTTGTCCCATCGGCAAACGTGGCCTCGGCCCCTCACACCCCCAGCGAGCTGTGGACTTGTGAATCACACCATTGGAACCATTGTCAAAACGGAGAACGTAGCAGGACCTGTTTCTTGTGCACAAAGGGGTTCTGTGCCCGTCACAAGTATGCCTACATCCATATCAAGCTCCTGTGCCAGCCTGGAGACCACCAGCACTTTGCAAAGGAAGAATGTGCAGGCACAGCTAGGGCCGCCGCTGACGGCAGACCTGCGGTCCATGGGCTCCCCTCTGAGTGCCACCAGGGCTCTCACCCCGCCGCAGGCTGCAGCAGGAGATGGGATCTCTGCTGTTGGGGCCACAAACCGATTCTGTTCACCAGCACCACCTTCAGGTACGTGCTAAAGAGCTGGTCTTGGCCCCCCCGAGGCTGAGAAAGTGTTCAGGCTCAGTGTTACTCTGAGCCTCAAGGCTGTAGCGGTCTGCCTGTGTTTAACTGGGAATTGTGCTTTCTGTGGAGAGCTGGGAGAAGTTTGTCCCCTCTCTCTTGGCTCCCTTCATGGAAGCCACAGGGTGTGAATTTGCTGCCTGCATGTACCTGAGAAGCAGGAGAGCAGATTAGTTTCATTCTGGAAAGCAATAGTTTTAAATCAGTTGGCTGCTGTGTCTAATGGTGCTTTAAAGCACTAGTTGCAAGGCAGTTCTCGCAGGATAATTCTGATCCTGGGATTTGTGTACACAGTAATGGTTCTGTCCCCTAGCACGGATGTGTTTGAAGTCTTTAGCTGCACAGCCTTGGTGTTAGAGAAAGATGGACTTCAGAAGCTGTAGTCTGCTTAGTATCTGTTAGTGTGTTACAGGGAAGTTACGGACTTGGCTATACAATCTCTGTCCCAGGTTGTACCCAAAACCCTTGCTGTTAAAGTGCATATACCCATTCTTCAGTGTAACAACATAAAGTCCGAGCTGCTGATAGCTGTTGAAGTTAGAATAACTGCCCATGGCTCAAACTTGGCTTTGAGAGACCTCTGCTATGTCTCTTGCAGTTCCCAGCTGCTCAGTGGCAGGCCTGCATGCAGCGCTTAGATCTGAGCGAGCAGCAGAGGCAACAGCTTTTTATCCTTATAATTCCTCAATGAGTAACTTTGGAGCTTCACCTCGTGTTTGGAAGCAGTTCCCAGAGTCCTTGGCCTCCTTGCTTATTGCTGAACAAACTTGGTTGCTCTGAGGCTGCTAGGTTGACCATGCCCTGCTTAGAAATGCAACACTGGGAGAAGCTTTGGCAGTGGAAATGAGCCCACACTATAGGAAACTTCTTGCTTTGTGGTTTGAAGAGCGCTGCAAACCCTACATAATTTTGCAGTTACTTAAGATGTTAATTAATTGCCTTTGCTGCAGTCTACAAAATGCAGATTAAACCATTCTTTTGGTGCAGTGTCTCTCGGGAGAGGTGTAAATATTTAGATTTCCCCATTTAACACGATGTACATATATAGATTTACAACAGATCTTAAATTAGACTGTGCAGATTTTGTTGCTGAGTACAAAAATACAAATCATTCATGACCTTTTTTTGTTGTTGTTGCCATAAATTTCAGGCTTATAGTAGCTCTGAGCAAAGCAGTTCAAGCAGATCTGGTATCAACAACGCATTTAAGGGATTTTGTTTGCAGGCACTTGCTGTTGTCTCTTTCAGCTGTGTGGCCAATGCCAAAGCAGGAGGGGTTTATTTTGCATATAATAAAACCTGCTTTTAGCTATCACCTTATTACTGGACAGTGAAGTACAGCCCTTGATAATCGTGCAGGAATAAGAATGGGGCTGTTTGTACCTTTTAGGCATGTTCAGACCTAGACAAGCTCCTTGGCAAATGTCCCTGGGTTTAGTTAGCTTTTCCAGCTCCTGGGGGTTTGGTGCTCACCTTCCCAGTCTCTGTAGGACATCATTTACAGTCTGTCGTTGCTTCTAACGGGGTAGGAGCTTAAATGTATAGGTCCAGAATTCCTCTGGCAGCAGGATGTGGGAGGCAGGAGCTGGCAGTTGGCTCTGTGTTGGAGGCACACACGAGTCCTGTGAGCAGAGCAAAGCTAATGGCCTCTAATTCAGGCCATTTTCAGAGCATGACTATGAGCAAAATTAGTCATTCTGAGCAGCTTGAAAGGGAAGTGCAGCCTGAGGGCTGGGTGCATGTCTCACGAACGTCACAGTGACATATCTTCTCTACACCATCTCTCTCTGTAGATGGTAAGGTCAGTCCCAGCACCTTATCCATAGGAAGCGCTTTAACTCTACCCTCATCACTCACTTCAAACTCTGCAGCTATGTTGGACCTCACCAGTTCCCTGAAGGCATTTATGGATGGCGGTGAGTATTCAGTTTGTTATCAGTATCTGTTTGTTTGTTTCCCTACAGCATTCTGTCTCTCCTTAAGGAAAAGGATCCAGAGATAAAGAAGGGTTGCAGTCAGGTGAGGGTGGAGCTGGGTATACATTACCTTAAATATGTCACATGCTTCCCTACTTGTAGTGTTGCCAAGGCAGCGAGGCCAATGAAGTGTTTCTGCCTGGAGCTTTTCTGGGGAATGATCACAAAGCTATTGCATGGGCAGCTTTCCAGGTGGAATTCACATGCACAGACCTGCAGCCCTGCCATGTTGTGGTGCTCTCTGCAATCCAGAGCTGCTCCTGGCTGGTGGAAAGTCCAGTAACAATAGGTCTTCCAGTTGAGCACTCACCTGAGTGGTGATGCTCTGATCGGTCAGTTAATGTTCTGATTTATTTCTGCTTCTGTCAGGCTTCCAGACTGGCCTGCTTTATATTTTCCCTTTGTTGCACTTGGCAAGAAATGCTAAACCTTAGTGGAGTGACTCCAGGAGGAGATTGATGAACAGCAATTGTCAGTAGCATAGGGAGGCTGCTGCCAGAGACAACTTCTGCGTCTGAAGAACAGCCTTTCTGGCATTGCCAGTGTTGACCCTCTTTTCTTGGGTGAACCTCAGCTCCTCATCCTGCCCCAGCTACCTCTTTGCCACCAGGAAAGGCTGTTAAGGTTCTCCTTCTTCTGCTTGCCATTTTACCCATTGTTGATGTGGAGAAAGCTCTTGGAAAGAAGAGGTTAGCCAGCCTGCTTGCTGCTAGAAAGCAGACCTCTGTAGGGCTTTGCAAATATCAATACTTCAAAGCTGTCAGCCACAGATCTGGTTTAAAGTTCAATAATACTGTCTGAATTGCCCTGTTTGGTTTAACTGACCCTGCTATGAAAGCCCGTGGCTCAAGAATGAGCCTGTAGCAGCTTCAAAGGTGGCTACACCTTTCCTCTGTAACATAGGGTTACACTTTCTAACTAGATAATGGAGCTTCCCAAGAAGGACCCAACCTGCTGCCTGAAGGGGCACAGTGCCCACCTCTGCAGATCCACTGGTTCTGAGCCAGACCAGCAGGTTGTCAGCTTTGTCAGCCCTTGTTCCCCTAAACTTCTGCTTGCAGCCTCAGTTGTAGCTCTCTGGCCATGGTTAGTGCTCTCCTTGCACACTGCTCACAGGAGATGATATGAAGTAATACATCAGCTCCATGTAAGAGTCTTGATACTGCAGAATTTGTCAAGTCTTTGCTGTTGAAGCAAACGGCACGTTTGAAAGTGGGACACTTAAATCCACTGCAGCTCAGATTGCACCCTTTCCATGAATAACTTACTAATTGCTTTTTGTTTATTAACAGAGATTGAGATAAATATGCTGGATGAGCAGCTGATCAAGTTTCTGGCCTTGCAGAGAATACATCAGCTTTTTCCTTCCAAAGCTCAGTCTCTAGCGAGCAGTGTCAGTTCCCATCAGCAATCTCCTGTAGGAAACCACATTGAAGGTAAGAGCAGCCCTAGAATAGTTGGTTGATGTTGAGCCATAGCTTTTTGGCACTCCCATGCTTATCCATTGAAGGCGATCTTCTCTTGTCTTCTGGTATCTGTCTGATGCTGCCTTTCATGTTTCTTTCCTCTCATCCCCCCACTCTGGACATCCACTGGCCAGAAACTACTTCAGGTCCCTCTGTTTGATTATTTACAGACTATGGCAATGGAAATGCCTTCAGTAACTCCTGATTTTCTGCTGGAAATCTTTAGTGAAGTTGTATTTCCTTCATCTTACACTTAACAATGGGAAGGTTCAGCTGCTTGCTTTTTTGTCCTCACCTTTGATATGGGCAAGAGAAATATATGAATTCCTGCTCCCTCTTTCTGGAGAAGTTGCTTGTGAGACAAACACAAACAGGAGGATCTGAGGCACACAGTATATGTGCTGTCATTGCTGTGCAGGATATCGCTGTCAAGCTTGAAACACTAAATGCAACTAATGCAAATAGTAGAAAACAACTTGCTCCTCTGTTGGAAATCTCCAGATTCCCGAGTTCAGCAGTGGCTTTGTTTATGGGCACTGGTATCAGCATGCTAACACCTAAAGCTGCAGGGTGAACTGGCTTCTGTTCCCAGTCAGTTTAATCTGTTTCCAAGCACTAACTGGACAGCCTTGTTGTGGAAGCTGTTGCCTGCTCCCTCTCTGCTAGGCCTGGGGGTAAATATCCAAGATAAGATCTTTGGAAGTCTGCTACCAGTCAGTAACCTCTGAAACTCTGCTTGCCTGCTCTGCTGCTGTAGCATCACAGCATTCTCTAAATGCTTTGTCAGTCTTCTTTTGAACGCTGTTGTAGGACAGCAGCTGTGCTATGAGCTGTGTTCCTGTGCTGCTCCTAACACATACGGTCTGGAAATTCTTCAGCAGTCTTAACCCATCACCCTTTTGGGGCAGGAATGCTTAGAATTGCTGATGAAGTATTTGATACAAGGCCTTTAGTGAGCCCCATTGAGCCAGCAGACCCAGACAGCTCAAAGGACTTGTGCAGGGCAGAGGTGGGGATCTGCATACTGCAGCTTCATTGAGTGCTGCTTGTCCAGTGATGCCACTCAGTGTGGCCAGTGTCCTTGATGTAGGTGGCTCTGGAAACAATCTCTCATAACCCTCATGTTCTGTTCTTTGATTTCATACTCTTGGTCTAAAACTGCTATGCAGATGCGGCATCAGGAGAGGCCTAAACTCCATGGGGTTTTTGGTGTCAAAGTGACACTTAAGGCTCAGCTCTTTCATTATCCAAAGTGGAAGAGATTGAGAAAGAAACTAGTGGTAGGAAGCTGGTGTCTTCCTCACTGAGGCTCCATTGTGCACACTCAGTATTAACATTCCCCTGCTGCATGGCTTGTGTGGGTGATGGGAGAGAGCAGTTTTCTCTGGTGCCTGGCAAAGAGATGTTTAATGCACAAACATTCCTAGAGGGTTGGGAGCTGAGGGTTAGGACAAAGCTGACTGCATCCTCTTTAGGATATGTGCTTTTTGGAGAGTCTAGCACTGGGGACTGGGCTTAAGCAGCCTGTGTGGCTGATAACATTGTTCAAGTGATTTCTTCTTATCTTGCAGCGCAAAGAAAGGAAGTGCAAGCACGGGCAGTGTTCTATCCCCTCATGGGCTTGGGGGGTGCAGTCAACATGTGCTATCGAACCCTCTACATTGGGACAGGTGAGTAGCTTTTCCCTGGCCTGACCATGCAGAATCAGGGTGGTTCTCCCTGACCTCTCCCTAAGTGTTTGCCAAGTGGGTGTAGAAGGAAACAGACCCATTCTGGACACTGGGATTCTTCGTTACCAGGAAACATGGAAATATTCCCCATCCACTTGAACGTTCGTGGGGTTGCACCTTTGTAAGCTGGCTGGTATCAGAGGGTGGTTCTCCGGGAGATGTAATGCCTGACTGATGCAGAGAAGAGCTTATGGTTTGCTTGCAGGTTTCATGGGTTTGCCTACATTCTTGTAGTGCTCTGGATAGACCCAAGAGCTGAAATGCTCTTCAACCTCCCTGGAGCTGCTAGCCTTCCCCTTCCCCCACTGAAACTTTGTTCTGTGGCTTATCGAGGCATTATTCATGCAGTCCTGGGAGCTCAGACAAAGGCAGTTGCTCCCCTGTTGTTTTGCTAATTGAAGTTTAATTCTGTCTGTTGTTCTCTGCTGCCTGACAGTTTTTTTTCCCTGCCTCTGGAATGAACTGAGTCTGTTTTGTCCTTCCCATTGACAGGAGCTGATATGGATGTGTGCCTTACAAGCTATGGTCACTGTAACTACGTGTCTGGCAAACATGCCTGCATATTCTACGATGAGGTGAGTGCTTGGGTGTTGGTTGGTTTGGGGGGGTTATTACTGGGCATGCACAGCAGTGGGAGAGCTGGAGATGCAGGCAGCAGGTTGCCTTTGTGTGGGGCTGCTTTGTGGACTACAGAGTAAAGAGCCAGGGCTGTGAATGGTTTCACTCCAGCGAAGGCTGCGTCAGCGTTTTCTGTCAAACCCTTTTCTGAAGCCCAGAGCTCTGCCAGCGTGATTCCTCTGAGCTAACTGCTTGTGGACAAAGCCTGACCACAAGTAAGCACTGTCACTGCTTGGTGGCCAGGGAAAGAAAAAGTCATGGAAATGGTTTGATGCTTTTTGATCCAACTGCGTTGTCGACATCAGAGCTCAGCTAGAACGAGGCAGGGAACTCCTCCCAGCCCCTGCTTTCAGGTGTGGCAGTGCTGCTGAGCGATCATGCCATCTGCAGTACTCTCTAAGTTCTTTATGGAACTGAATTTCAGTTACGCTCTCACCATTAAACGGAGGTCTACAGTTGCTCCTTGACTACAGGCCTGAGATTAGGTTGTTCTTGAAGTAAACAGGCTGGTGGGGCTGCCAATAAAAGCGCTGCTGGAGATGTCTCTTAGCATGGAAACAGTCTTTGAAGCAAGATAGAGTCTTTTATATCACCATTAGTCAAACAGTTACTGAGCAGCATCCAGGATTAACCCACAGCCAGCTTTGGCCATTCCTCCAGTGCACTACAAGTTACAGTAATGGGATCCAGACCTTAAATCTGTGTTGAAGCATCTCCTCACAGTGGTCAGTCCTAAATCAGGCTCTAGGCACTGAACTTCTTCCATGCTCCAGCAGGCCTCCTATGGCTGTGGTTGCTCTAGAAGGAGAATTTTCCTTTCCTTAGCTCTGTTTGCTGTTTCTGCTTCTGCCCATTGGCAGCTCATGCTTGCCCTTGGTCGCTGCAGCTTAACAGGTTACTTGAAAACTCGCTCTCCTGAGCTTTTGTAACTTATTCAAGCTCTGTAGCCCCTGGGGGACAAGGTTTTCAGCCCTCATACGGTTCCTGTGAGCTAACCTGAAACCTCCTCCGCTCTGTCAACATCCTCTGCAAAGCTCAGTTGAGCGTGACGCTGCTGGTGTAATGCTGCGTGGCAGGGTAATGGCTCCTGGCGGTTCAGACTGCCTCTGTCTTGCAGCTGCTGCAGCACGCTGCCATCCCTCTTGCCATCTTGTGTCTGCTTTCCAAAGTGCATCTCCTCCCTGCTTAGGCACAGGGCTCAGGCCAAGCTTGCATTTAGTGCGCTCGCTTTGGGAGAACCAGCTTGCAGCCCTGCTTCCCGAAGATCTGTTGGTCCAAGTGCAGTGGAAGACTCACTTCTCTTCAAAGCTGCTCTGGCTTTGCTTCCCTGTGGAGACCCAGCTCTTGCTGGAAAGCTGTTCTGTCAGCATGAGCCATTCACGAGGGTCGGGTTGGTGGTCTATGAAGCTGGAGGGTATTTTAACTGCTCTTATGTAACCACCACCAGCAGGAGGGAGAGAGGGGTTGTATTTCAGTGCTCTAGAAGGGTCCAGGGGCAGACGCCTTTCTGACTTGATGTCTTGCTTCCCACTTCCTCCCCTTTTCTTTTCAGAATACGAAACATTATGAGCTGTTGAACTACAGTGAGCATGGGACGACCGTGGACAACGTTCTGTATTCGTGTGACTTCTCGGAGAAGATGACTCCCACTCCTCCCAGCAGTATTGTTGCCAAAGTGCAGAGTGTGATAAGTGAGTGTTGAGACAGCACCAGCCCCATGTACCATCACAGGGAGCTGTCAGAAGGGGATGGGAGGAGGTATAGATCGATTCCTTGGTGATGGCCCTTCTTCTGCAGCAGCTGGTGCACCCCTTGCAAGAATCATGGAATGGTTTGGGTTGAAGGGACCTTAAAGCTCACCCAGTTCCAACCCCTGCCACGGGCAGGGACCCCTTCCACTGGAGCAGCTTGCTCCAAGCCCCTGTGTCCAACCTGGCCTTGAGCACTGCCAGGGATGGGGCAGCCCCAACTTCTTTGTGAAGGGGGAGCTTCTCCATTGGCTTTCAGCCTGGGTTGCACAAGTCCTTCCCCTGCAGCTTGGGCAGTGCCCAGTGCTCTGCTCTAAACCCTGCTCCTGCCTCCAGTGACAGTTACACTGCACTGAGGTCCCTGCCTGACATCAGCTCTGGTTCGGAGCTGGACCAGTGGCTTTCCCCCACATCTTCCCCTTCCAGGCTGTGAGTAAGCGATCTGGGCCGTGCTATGGGCATCCCATCTCCACATGGCCTGCTCCTGCTTTCCACCTTATGAGCTCCCTCTTGTTTTGGCTGTTAAAGGAGATGTGTAAATGCCTTTACCTCTTTGGGCTGCGGGGAGATTCCACTCCCTACAGAGGACTGAAACACCTCATTGCTGGAGGATCTTACCCAAAGCACCTCAGCAGTAGGCCTGTTGCTGAAAACAAGCTGCCACAACCCACCCAAACTTCACACGTTATCACTTTCCTTTTCCAGAGCGACATAAAAGCAGAAAACAAGAAGAGGAGCCGCATGAAGAAGCTGCTGTGATGAGTTCCCAGGCACAAGGACAGCATAGGAAACCCTGTAACTGCAAAGCCAGCAGCTCCAGCTTAATAGGGGGCAGCGGGGCTGGCTGGGAGGGGACAGCACTGCTCCACCACGGCAGTTACATCAAACTGGGCTGCCTGCAGTTTGTTTTCAGCATCACTGAATTTGCGACCAAACAGCCCAAGGGGGACACTGCCTTAGTACAAGACATGGACTTGGAGGAGAAGCTTTCTCTGAAACCCCACCAGGTGCCCGTGCTGCGGTCCAACTCCGTTCCCTAGGAATTTTTTTTTAGGAAGAGACCTTTTGGAATAAAGGAAACTAAAAAAAAAACACCTTCAGACTGTTGCAATGCAAAACTGTACAAAACCAAGGTAGGATTTTTGTGTGTCGGCCCAGAGACTGTTCACACGCCGTTTGCATGAAATGAAGAACGTTTTAACTTTTTTTAATTTTAATGATTTTTGGTTTTTTTTTTTCATTTTTTGCTCAAGTTTTAGGGGCATTTGCACATATATTTGTACTATACATTTCATTTTAAAAAGGAAAACTGCAGCGAGAGCAGGACGTGTCAGAGCGAGGGGCGACCGCTGTCTGACTCGAGGACTCTCCCTGACAGATAGTTCCCATGCAGTTGTAAAATAATCAGAAACTTGTTCTATTTTGTGCCAGTGACAATAGTTTTATATTAAAAAAAAAGAGAAATACAGTTTTCATACAGCAAATCTATACAATATCATTGTTTTATTTAATGTAAAGAAGCGCTCTTCTTCTTCCCACAGTTATTTTCTTTCTCCCATCCCTCCCTGCTATGGTTGCACTACAAGTAGCTACTGTGTATTACGGGCAGTGAGAAATGAGTTCTTTTCCTGGTGTCCATCCGAATTTTTCTTTCAGACAAAGGAAAAGCGTTGGGATTCTGTGTAAATACATCAGTGATGGCATTTTTTTCAATGTTTTAAAGCTGTGTACAGTGCTACATGTGGTATGACGTTCCTCAAATTGTCTATTGTAGCAGCTCGTTTGTCGTAACCTGTCTGTCTCCTTTTTTGTTTCTATGCCACCTCCCCGCAGAACAGCTTAGTTCCACTGTACATAGTAATTGTAACGTTTTAGACTTTACAGAAAACTTTCCTGTATTCTGTATATAAAAAAAGAAATACTTCACATTCTGTTTTCTTGACTGTCTTGTCTTTAACTCTTGTCCCCACGACGTGGAGCTTGCTGAGCACGGAAGAGCTGCGGGAAGGATGGATGGAGGCATGGCAAAGGCGTGGTGGTCCAGGAGGGATGGAGGGGGATAGGATGGTTTTGAAGGGCACTAAGTTGGTCCAGTCCAATGGGGTATGGGGTGTAGGGGCAGGAGAATCAGGACTCCAGACTGGTTTGGCTCGGAAAGGACTTTAAAGCTCATCCAGTTCTAACCCCCTCCTGCAATGAATAGGGACATCCTCAACCAGGTCAGGATTAAGCCACATCCAGCCTGGCTTTGAACGTTGCCAAGGGTTGATGCATCCACCACCTCTCTGGGCAACCCCTGCCAGAGTTTTACCACCCTCCTTGTAGAGTTTATAGCTCGGAAGAGGGGGGATCTGACTGAGGGGATGCTGGAGCCCAGTGCCACGGTGATGGGCCTCATGCAGCCGGGTGAGTGCCTTGACCCCGGGGCCTGCTTCCACCGGGGACAAAGGCCTCCGCGCTCCGGTTGCGAAAGGAGCAGCGCGGCCGCGGTCCTTTCCCCGCCCTTCCCTTCCCTTCCTTGCCCTTCCTCGTCCTTCCCGGGGAGGCGGGACACGGCAGCAGCGGGATGTGGCGGCAGGCACTGCGGGCGCTGCTCCGGTACGGGCTGCGCCGAGCCCCGCAGCCGCTGCCCCTCGCCCGGCCCTCACTGCGCGGCCGCACCGCCATTGTCACCGGTGAGCTCCGGGCAGCGGCCTAGCTCCGGGCAGTGCCCCGGTCCCGGCCCCGGCGCTCAGCGCTGTGCTCCGCAGGGGGAAGCGGCGGCATCGGCGAGGCCACGGCGCTGGAGCTGGCCCGCTGCGGGGCACGGGTTGTGCTGGCGACGCGCAGCGCCCCGCGCGGGGAGGCCGCGGCCCGGCGCATCCGCACGGTGAGAGCTGGGGCACCCCCAGAACACCCCTAGGGGCACCCCAAGGAAAACCTTAGAGCACCCCTGGCACACAGAATCCCAAGGGTTGGAAGGGACCTCAAGAGATCATCTAGTCCAATCCCCCTCAAGAGCAGGGTAACCTGGAGTACATCCAGGGCATCACATGGGCACCCCTCAGAGACTCCTACAGCACATGGCCCACCCCAGAGACAACCCCATAGGATGTCTCCATGCACCCCTGGCACCCCCAGCCCCCTGCAGCCCTCCTTAACCTGGGTGGGATCCATCCCCACCCCGTGGTGCCCCAGCCCTGCCCCAGGCCATGCTGTGCCCACCCACAGGAGACAGGGAACCCAGATGTGCGATTCATGCATCTGGACCTGGCCAGCCTGCGCTCGGTGCGCGCCTTCGCCAGCGCCTTCCTGCGTGAAGAACCCCACCTGCACCTCCTCATCAACAACGCCGGTGAGTTACAGACCCCCCTTTGAACCCCCCCTGCTCCAGCACCCCCAAAGCACCCACCATGTGCCACCATTGCCTCCCCATCAGGGGTGAGCGCCGGGGGCACCACAGAGGATGGCTTCAGCCTGGTGTTCCAGGTGAACCACTTGGGGCACTTCCTGCTCACGGAGCTGCTGCTGGAGCGCCTGCGGAGCTGCGCCCCGAGCCGCGTGGTCATCGTGGCCTCCAGCGCCCACCGCGCCGCCCGCCTGCGCCTCGACGCCTTGGGGAGCCCATCCCCGGGGCCTCTGGGTCCCTTCCAGGACTACTGCGACAGCAAGCTGGCCAACGTGCTGCACGCCCGCGAGCTGGCCGCGCACCTGCGGGGCACCGGCGTCACCTGCTATGCGGTGCACCCAGGTAGGGATGTGGGGATCCTCGCATGGGGTGTCCCCCGGAGCGTGGTTTGTGCAGGGGGTTCTTGCATGGGGTGGGCTTTGCATGGAGGATGGCAGCGAATGGAGCAGGCCTTGCGTGGAGGATGGCAGTGAATGGAGCAGGCCTTGCATGGAGGATGGCAGTGAATGGAGCAGGCCTTGCATGGAGGATGGCAGTGAATGGAGCAGGCCTTGCATGGAGGATGGCAGTGAATGGAGCAGGCCTTGCATGGAGGATGGCAGTGAATGGAGCAGGCCTTGCATGGAGGATGGCAGTGAATGGAGCAGGCCTTGCGTGGAGGATGGCAGTGAATGGAGCAGGCCTTGCGTGGAGGATGGCAGTGAATGGAGCAGGCCTTGCATGGAGGATGGCAGTGAATGGAGCAGGCCTTGCATGGAGGATGGCAGTGAATGGAGCAGGCCTTGCATGGAGGATGGCAGCGAATGGAGCAGGCCTTGCATGGAGGATGGCAGTGAATGGAGCAGGCCTTGCGTGGAGGATGGCAGCGAATGGAGCAGGCCTTGCGTGGAGGATGGCAGTGAATGGAGCAGGCCTTGCGTGGAGGATGGCAGCGAATGGAGCAGGCCTTGCATGGAGGATGGCATGGAGTGTCCCTTTACATGAAACATGCCTTTGCATGGAGTGTCCCTTTACATGAAACATGCCTTTGCACAGCATGTCTCTACATGAAACATGCCTTTGCACAGTGTCCCTTTACATGAAACATGCCTTTGCATGGAGTGTCCCTTTACATGAAACATGCCTTTGCACAGCGTGTCTCTACATGAAACATGCCTTTGCACAGCGTGTCTCTACATGAAACATGCCTTTGCATGGAGTGTCCCTTTGCATGAAACACGCCTCTGCATGGCTGTGTCTCTACATGAAACATGCCTCTGCATGGCTGTATCTTTGCATGGTGCGTCCCTTTGCATGACACGCTCTTGGCATGAAACATCCCTTTGCACGCTGTGCCCTGTGCATGGCCTGTTGCACAGTATGTCCCTTTGCATGCCGTGTCCCATTGCATGGTGCATCCATTTACACAGCACTTCCTTGCCATGAACCCCCCCTTTGCACAGTGTTCCTGTGCACAGTTGTCCCTTTCTCTTGTGTGTCCTTTTGCATTGGCATGAAACACGCCATCACACGGTGTGTCCCTGCGCAGGAGCATCCTTCTGTGCTGTGTCCCTGTGCAGGGTCCATCCCTTTGCACAGCGCACCCACACACCTTCTTGCCCCATTCCACCACACACCAGCACCCCATCAGCTCTGCCCATCCAAAGGGCCCACGGCACAGGGTGTGATGTGTGTGCTCCATCCCTCGCAGGGTTCGTGGACACGGGGCTGTTCCGGCACGCTCCGCTCTGGCTGAAGCCGCTCCTGGTGCCGTTGGCCCGGCTCTTGTTCCGCACCGCGGCCGAGGGCGCACGGACACCACTGCACTGCGCCCTGCAGCGCGGCCTCGAGCCCCTCAGCGGCTGCTACTTCAGTGACTGCGCCCCACAGGACCCCTGCCCGCCCGGGGGGGACGAGCGCCTGGCACGGGCGCTGCGGGAGAGCAGCCAGCGCCTGCTGGGACTGCATGGGGATGGTGATGGTGATGGCGATGGGGACAGGCCCTTACGTGGCACTGCCACAGCTCAGCACTGAACGTGACCATGGTGAACAGAGCGACCTCTGGTAATGCCTTACGATGGCATGGGCGTGCTGCGGTGCTCGTGCCATGCCTTGCACAGCCTGCAGTGCATGCACCCTGCTGTACACACCTGTAATCACTGTGGTTCATGCACCTATGATCACGCTGCAGTGCACACACCGTGGCTCGCACACCCGTAGTCATGCTGTGGTGGGCACGCTATGCCTTACACACCTATAATCACACTGCAATGCACACTATGCCTTGCACACCTATAATCACACTGCAATGCACGCTATGCCTTGCACACCTATAATCACACCGCAATGCACGCTATGCCTTGCACACCTATAATCACACTGCAATGCACGCTATGCCTTGCACACCTATAATCACACCGCAATGCACGCTATGCCTTGCACACCTATAATCACACCGCAATGCACGCTATGCCTTGCACACCTATAATCACACCGCAATGCACGCTATGCCTTGCACACCTATAATCACACCGCAATGCACGCTATGCCTTGCACACCTATAATCACACCGCAATGCACGCTATGCCTTGCACACCTAGAATCACACTGCAATGCACGCTATGCGTTGCACACCTATAATCACACCGCAATGCACGCTATGCCTTGCACACCTATAATCACACCGCAATGCACGCTATGCCTTGCACACCTATAATCACACCGCAATGCACGCTATGCCTTGCACACCTAGAATCACACTGCAATGCACGCTATGCCTTGCACACCTATAATCACACCGCAATGCACGCTATGCCTTGCACACCTATAATCACACCGCAATGCACGCTATGCCTTGCACACCTATAATCACACCGCAATGCACGCTATGCCTTGCACACCTATAATCACACCGCAATGCACGCTATGCCTTGCACACCTATAATCACACCGCAATGCACGCTATGCCTTGCACACCTATAATCACACCGCAATGCACGCTATGCCTTGCACACCTATAATCACACCGCAATGCACGCTATGCCTTGCACACCTATAATCACACCGCAATGCACGCTATGCCTTGCACACCTATAATCACACCGCAATGCACGCTATGCCTTGCACACCTATAATCACACCGCAATGCACGCTATGCCTTGCACACCTATAATCACACCGCAATGCACGCTATGCCTTGCACACCTATAATCACACCGCAATGCACGCTATGCCTTGCACACCTATAATCACACCGCAATGCACGCTATGCCTTGCACACCTAGAATCACACTGCAATGCACGCTATGCCTTGCACACCTATAATCACACCGCAACGCACGCTATGCCTTGCACACCTATAATCACACCGCAATGCACGCTATGCCTTGCACACCTATAATCACACCGCAATGAACGCTATGCCTTGCACACCTAGAATCACACTGCAATGCACGCTATGCCTTGCACACCTATAATCACACCGCAATGAACGCTATGCCTTGCACACCTAGAATCACACTGCAATGCACGCTATGCCTTGCACACCTATAATCACACCGCAATGCACGCTATGCCTTGCACACCTATAATCACACCGCAATGAACGCTATGCCTTGCACACCTATAATCACACCGCAATGCACGCTATGCCTTGCACACCTATAATCACACCGCAACGCACGCTATGCCTTGCACACCTGTAGTGTTTAGTGTGAGGTGTCCCTGCCCATGGCAGGGGGTTGGAACTGGATGATCTTAAGGTCCTTTCTAACCCTAACTATTCTATGGTTCTGTGATTCTATAATCACACCACAATGCACACACCATGCTTTGCACACCTATAGTCATGCTGTGGTGTGCACACTATGCCTTGCACACCTATAATCACACCGCAATGCACACACCCTGCTATAATGATGCTGCAGTGCAGACCCTGCCTCCCACACACCACACACCGCAGTGCGCACACGCACGGCACCCAACATGGCGGCGACACCGCCGACCTCCCCAACATGGCGGCGACAGCAGCGCTGACCTCCCCAACATGGCGGCAGCGGCGCTGCTCACCTCCCCAACATGGCGGCGCGCAGGGGCGATACGCCGCGCTGGGGTGTGGCGAGAGGCGCGGCGGGTTGTGGGAGCGGGCGGCTGAGGAGGAGGAGGTGGCGGTGGGCGCCATGGGCAACTGCCACACGGTGGGGCCCAATGAGGCGCTGGTCGTGTCAGGTACGGCCGGGAGTGGGGTCCCTATCATGGCGGGAGGGGAGACCCTGAGGGCACTGGGGAGCGGGGTCTGTGGTAATGGGGTCTCCCAGGACGGGTCCCTGTCATGGGAGCGGGTGTTGGGGGTCTCTGTGCTGAGGACGCTTTGGGGCACTGAGGAGGAGGCGTGATGGGGGGGGCTTGGGGGGTGACGCTGTCATGGCGGGGGGTCCCTGTGTGGGAGGGAGTGGGATCTGGGGGGTGTTTGGGGGTGCCTGGTGCAGGGCCCCCGTGACCTGAGAGGGGCTCCCTGAAGGAGTTGCGTGGGGAAACCCTTCCCTGATGGGGCACTGGGGGGGTCCCTGTCCTGAGGGGGCTCCGGGCTGTCCCACTGGGGTGCGCACTGGGGTGCTGCGGGTGTCCGCGTCCCCGGAGCGCAGTTGCGGTGCCGGCGGCACACCCCGGTGCTGCTGCTGCTGCTGCTGCTGCTGAGCTCGGGTGATGTCAGGCAGAGGCACCCGCAGGGCTGCCGGGCTCTGGGACCCTGCCAGCAGAGCAGCCTTTGGCTTGGGTCACCGGGAGCCTCCCCTGCTCCCGGGGGCGGCTCGGCTTTGCCGGGAAGCGGAGCCGGGTGTGAGCATCCCGCTGGGGCTGAGGGAGCAGCTCAGGGCAGCGCCGGTGCCCGTCTCCATCGTGTCCCGCTGCCGCTTCCTTACTGGTGCTGACAACGGGCACAGTTGATGCCTGTCACACGCGTGTAATGTTATCAGCAGGTGAGCTGGTTGCTTACGTTAGGATTAAATTGAACCCGTAGTGAAATCTGGCTCAACCTGTGGCTGCTTCAATACTCCAGGCTGCGCTTTGGTGCAGCATCTGTGTGCAGACAGGACTTAACGACCGTTAGGAGATGCAACAGCTTGCATGGGTACTTCACTCGTTATCACAGGCTTGGGTCAAGTGCAAGGTAATAACCAGGTTAGATTACAGATGTTGGTCAATTCTAGTGTCCTCATGTACATCCTTTCTGTCAACACTCAACTAGTTTTGTGGCAGGAGCTGTGATACTCAGACCTAACCTTCCCTGGGGTGAGGGGGGCAATGGATGTGAAGGTCAAGGCTGTGCTACCATCACAGCTCTATGTTGTTGTGGTGTTGAAGCCAAAGCCTCCAGCGGGCTGTGGCCCTTGCTTCTGGCTGCTCTGTTATCATTCCATTTCTCTTGGATAACAAACCTGTTCCGGGAATCACTGGGGAGAAGCCAGCAGCAGGCTGTGGTTTTGGGAACAGCGATGCTCGCTGTGGCTGCTGCTTCGAAGGGGTTACAAACCGGAGCAGCAGTATTCCTTGTGCTTTCCCTGGTCTTCTGCACGTCTCTGCAGTTCCCAGCTGGGATCTAGAGCTGGTGCTGCACTTCCCTCCAGCGAGACCCCCATTGGAACCAGTGCTGCTTGGAGAGATGCCATGTCTGGAGATGGGAGGACTCGGGAAGCCGTGCTCCAGGTGTGCCAGGATGCCTTTCAGCCTTTAAAAAGCTGGGGTTTTGCATCTGTTCAGCTCTGAAGCGTACAAAACCCAGCTTGCAGGGTGAGCCAGCAGGAATCTGTGGCATCTGCTCGCAGTCCCAAGCCTTAGGCTTTCCCACAGCCGGGGACACTCCTCGATGTACAACCACATTCTGGGAAGGAAGCGTAAATCGTGCCAGGCTCCTTAGGTCAGAACTGGGTTCTGTGCTGCCACCACCCGTGGTTTTCCTCTGCTGCTGCTGCCCAACTTGGTCTGTGAGCGCTTGCTGTCTCCTGAGAGCTTCAGGGGCAGCCTGAGAGGTTGTGGGAGCTCTGCAGGGCCTGCAGCTGCTCCCTGCTTGCACAGTGAATGCCAAGGCATTAGTGGGAGGCGTGTAACTACAAGCAGTTGTAGTTCCAGGAACTTCAGCCCTGTCCCTCCAGGGTAAAGCAGAGAGGAAGGGGGGGGGCGGAGGCAGCATTTGCTTGCATGCTATTAGGTTGGATCCTTGGAGAGAAGGGGAAGGTGAGAATAAACCAACAGCAAATAATATTAAAAACAGGCTTTTGGCTCAAAGTCTCAAATTGCCATATGAATGTTACATGAAGGACTTTGTAGGAAGGCACCTCCAAATCGTGAAGCTCATTGGGAAGTTTCCTTATTGCAAATCCAGCCTGTGCCTCTTGAAGTTTGGGGTGGCACGTGGGGGTTTCCAGGGAATGGTGTTCACTCTCTTGTAAGACACTCCAATTCCTCCAGTGCTCCAGGAGCAGCCAGCCGTGCCTGGGGAATGTCTGTGTGTGCAGGAGCTTCACAGCCTTGTTTGGGAAGCTGCTTCCCAGGCACAGGTCAGCACTCTTAATGGCACTCTTGTTGAACAGTATTGAACAGTATTGATCTCCTTCGAAGAACTGCACTCTTGGCCAATCTGTCCATGAAATGTAGAGCCCAGGCTTTGTGAGAGTGCATCACATACCCTACAGAGGCAATGGTGGCATCTCCAAAATGAGGGCCTAACTTTGCTATCAAGCTTTGGTGCAAGTTCTGAGGAGGCTTTGGCATCACCGAGTCTTCCAAGAGCCAGTCAAGTTTTCAGGGCAATACATAAAGTACCTGTTCATCCTGATACCAGAATGTTCCCAGCAGCTAAGTAGGTTTTGTTGGATGCATAATGCTGGGTTTGGGTTGCACTCTGGCTGAATGCAGCTTTTGTGGCTAAGGATCAATCTGCTAATTAGGAAATACAATGCTAGGATCTTTCTGCAGTCTCATTGTAAGGAGATGTAATTTGTAATGGCCACGTTCATCTTACAGTCACCATAAGTAAATAATATGTTCTGGATCTCTACAGCTGGGATTGCGGGGCAGCACCACACAGCAATGGCCCAGCAGCCAGAGGAGCTTGGAGTGAGCCCTTGGAGACAGGTGATAGGGGAAGGTTGGCACCCGTATTTCCAGGTCAGAACAAACTGCTCTTTCAGCATTAGTTCAGGGTATGAAAGGAGGAAGAAAGTACAGGGGAATTGCCCAGTCAGCCTGGCTTTATTTCCTGGGAGAGCACTGAAACAAGTGCACTGCTTGTAAATGCCTCCAAGAAAACAATTCCTTGTATTTGCTGAGCATGAGCCATGTCCAGCTAATCTGACTTCCTCATCAGGTGGGTTAGTGCTCCAGGGGATGGGGAGAAGCCTCTGACGTGCACCTTGCCTTTACTAAAGCCTGTTTCATGTGATTGCTCAGAATCCAGCTTGCAAACTACAGCCCAGCCTCAAACTCTGCTTTCCTGCATCACCCTTTGAGGCTCCTTGATCTCTGTCAAAGTAAAAGAGAGCTAGCAGTTAATTCCTTTCTTGTGTAAACACTTCCTGTTACACCCCAGCAGCCAGGGGTGGTTTAACCCTTCCAGAGCTGCTCTAAGCTCTTGCATCCTGTTAGTGCATCCCTTTTCCCCACAAGAGCTGGTCCTGATTTGGAACCAGTGTCACTGTGCCTTTTTCATGGCATTTCTGTTAAGTTGAAAGCCTGAAAATAAAGGTTTCTTGAGGCTCTGCAAGCCATCCTGTGAGAGATCTACAGTGCAAGGAGGAACTGGTTTCTCAGATCCTATAAAACTAATATGAAACTGCCTGAAAAGGGTTGCCAGGGAACTTGACAGTGCCTCACTGTTCAGCTGAAAGGGTTTATCAAGTACATTCCTTGTTTTGGCTTGGATAATGGAATTGAGAATGTGCTTATTGAATTTGCAGACAGTACTGAGCTAGGAATGGATTTGAGACCTTTGAAGACCTGGATTAGAATCAAAACAAACTCAACAGAGAGATGGAATGGCCTGGAAGAAATATGATACAGTTCAACAAGGAGAAGTGCAGAGAACAACACTTGGGTGAGAACAGTCGATAGCAAGAAAATGGAAGGAGAAAGTCCAGGCTGTGTCCTGCAGAAAGATGTGGTGAGCAGCAAGAGCCATGTGAGGGTTGAGCCTGAGGCCTTCTACCTCTCCCATCAGGCAAGCCATGCAGGAAACTTCTAGTGGCACTCATTGCCAGGTTTGAGTGCTCCTGCATGTAGGTTCTTCATTTGGCTGGCCAAGAATCTTCACCTGCATGGTTGATTTCTTGCTGCTTGTGATGCTCAGTGGCTGCTGCCCAGAGTGCAGCATCACAGCTTGTTTCAAGTCTGTAGCACAAGAATGCTGGTGCTCAAAACGTGACATATGGGGAGGTAGTTTCTCCTCTGGAGGTAGGTCTTCAGCTTTTTGCAGGTAGTGGGGCTCAAGGTTTCCCTTGTCAGGCAACTGTTAAATGTCCAAGACTTACAGATGGCTCATCAGAAAGCAGGAAGTGGACAGAATAGCTTCGGAGCTTCCCCTTTGGAATCCTGGGGTAGTATCTCTGTGGTTTTGTTGTGTAACTTCATTGTGGTTTGTCTTCTGTGAGTTTCTGTTTACAAGATGAATTAAACTAAATGTGTGTCTTTAAACTCGCTCTGAGCATTGATACTTCCAGCCTTTAAGCATTCATTTTGATATAGATCACATCCAAAGCGAGCTAGCCAGCATCTGTTTCATCTACTGTAGTGACCATCCAAGGATTTTATGGATTCAACTCAGAACCCTGCACTCTCTTAAATTAATTTCTGTTAACCTTGTCCCATTTCTGCATGTGGACAAAACCTCATTTCTATGCACAGCAGGGCCTAAGAACCAGACTGGCTTTAGTCAAGACCCTGCTTTATTACATGATGTTCTTTATGCCTTTGCCTTTTTCTCTCATCTCCATTGTGCCTTTTGTCAGTAACTGGTTTCAGTTATCATTGTCCCCCTTGTCTTTCTGCACTCGTTTATTAGCACCCCATGACATGGGGCCATTTCTCTACAAACCTGGCTTCTGTCCCACTGGACCGAGCTGTTTATTCCCTGTTTCGGTGATGGGTCCTCCTGGAGGAGGAGGCTCCAGCACAGATTGCCCTGAACCAAGGTGTGGAGATGACAGCTCTGCCTGTGCAGGTGAGGGTGATGGTGTCTGCTTTGTTCTTGTTTGCAGTCTCAGGAAAGGAATGTCATTATCAAGCTATCATAGCAGCCTGCTTACCATGACCTGATTTCTGAACATCACCACTTCCTGCCAGAATACAAGCTCATTGCCTCCAGTTACCTTGGGAGAGCAAACAACACTGAGTTTGTTCCCAACCTCCCATTGTCCCAGCTTTGCTGTTTTGTGCCCTGTATCCCTGCTGGGGCTGCTGTTCTTCCTCGCTGCCATCCATCAGGGCAGCAGCTTCCTGCGTCTGCTGAGAGCTCCATTTATCTCCAAACTCCCAAGCGATGAATCTCACCTCATTACAAAACCCCACCAAACCCAAACAGACAACGTGCTTTCTCCTGCCTCTGGGAATCCTTCCTTGAACATGGGACCCCTTCATTTGGGAAGAGGCCAGGCTGGATGGCAGCTTCCTGGTGATGAATCCTGTGTCTGTAGTGTGCCTGGCTGCTGCACACTGCCCCGGAAGAGGCAGTGGATGCTTGTGGAAGCGATGGCCAAGCGACTGTGAGACCCGGGCTGCTGGAACAGTGGGTGTATTATAGCTGGAAAAGGCAGTTTCTCTGCCAAATCTCATTGTGCAAGAGGGGTTATTCTTTAGCCTTGCAAAGATTTCGCTTTGTTGGTTCCTTTTTCACTTGCTCTTTGAGACTTGGGAAAGAGACTGCGGGACTGCAATGGAAAATGAGAGTGTTCGGCTCATCTGACTTGTGTTACCAGGACAGAGCTCTGCTGCGCTCAGACGTCCAGCCTGCATGAAAGCAACCAGCTGGCATCCTGCTCCTGTTTAAGGGCTTGATTTTCCCTCTTTTCCTTATGCTTTGAACACTTTTTGACATATAATGTAGCTTAGTAAACTGTGCTGTGGAGCAGCGTTAGGAAGCAAACGTGGGGCTCGCTTTGGGTGTGATGCCAAAGGTATTTCCTGCGGAAGAGAAGAAACATCTGTGTGGAGAGGAATGTTCTCGTGAGCAGTGGGTTGAGGGTGCAGGGTTTGCTCAGAACATTATTATGAAGCAATTACCAGAGGTTTGGTAAAGGCCACATAGAGCTTCTGAAATAAAATACCTTTCCATGTGGAGCTGCTTTTCCCAGCTGCCAGGAGCACCTCCCTTCCTGTTCTTGGAAAACAAGGGCCTGGCTAAAAGGCTGAGCTAACCGGGCTGACGTCCTCCAGGAAAAGTTAAGAGGTGTTGCAGTTGAAATGCTGCGGGATATTGTATCATCAGCCTCTGTAAGTGCTTGCCTGGCTGAAACAGCCTTCCAGCTACAGGAAGAAGCTATCCAGAGGTTGAAGAAGTTATCAAGAGGCTGTCTTGGAGGTGGCAGGAGGATGGTCCTCAGGGCTGTGGAGCACAGAAGTGTGTAAACCCATCTCCTGTTTGTGTTTACTTGCTACTGATATTGGAAGGTGAAGAACTGGAGACGAGACTGTTGCTTATGGTTTATCAACCACTGCATGGAGGCCAGTGAAGCAGGTGGTACCTTTAGCTGAGAGCAGAAGATGGCCAAACACTTTAGGATGGGACAGACAGAAGGCCCCTCCTGTGGTCCAGAGAGCATTGCCAGCACACTGGCTTGGATGTGTGCTGCTTTGCTGCTTCGTTTTGACCTATTGCAGCAAACATAGCATGTCATCTCTCTTGAAAGAGCTGTCTGCTGGTCTCATAGTTCTCCCTTTCCCCTCCCACAGTGTTCCAGCCGTGCTGTTGCCCTGTGGGCCAGCTCTGGCTCTGTCTTGCCTGTGTAGATACATCCCCCAGGGCTGAAGCTGCTGCTCTGTTGGTGCAGTGCTGGCCTTGCTGAGGCCCTAGGGTGTTGCTGTAATGAGTATGATTATGGATGACAGGCTAGGGAGGGACTGCTGGGTTCATCTGCCTGGGAGCAGGCAGCTCACAGCCCTGGTCCAAGCCAGGGAGCTGCAGAGCTCCTCTCTTGCCAAGCATTAAACCTGGGGCTGGTCATGGCTCCTTGAAAGGTAGCAGGGGTCTCATTCCTTGGATCAAAGATGTGAGAATCTTCTGGCTTCACTGGGGTCAAACCTTAAATGCATCAAAGGAGTTCTGGAAGCTGACCTAAATCTGGGCAGAGCCAGCTCTGTGATGGGCCATCACAGCTTCAGGCACTGTAGTATTGCATGAGCCCAAACTAGGAGATGTTTTGGGGGAGCTCCAAGGTTTGTCCCTCCTCCAACAGTGACCTGCTAGCTTTTGGGTGGATTAAAGGGTGTGAGGGAAAGGGGATGGATTTCCTACATGGCTTTCCATAACAGAGCTGGTGCATCTCGGTTAAAAATACTGAAGCATGAGCTGTCTTTGCTACAAGTGCTTAAACTGCTAAAAAACAACTTAAATAAACTCCTGGTTTGAAACGCAGTCACTCTTTGTATGTTATTTCACACTGGATTATCACAAACACTGTTTCCCACTTTCACAAGGCAACTCTAAAACACACAGGTTGCCTTTGGAAAACTGCTGGGTGAGGCCCATGGGGGTGAGGAAGAGGGTTTTGTTCCCAGTAACCAGCTGCATTATGGCTGACCAAAGGGTGTTCCAGGCCTGCTGTGGATCTTGGAAAGAGTTTTCTGTGTTCATTATTCACCAGGTCCTGCAGGCATGCTTGGATTTGTCTGGATCACCTTGGCAGCACTGGTGCTTCCTGTGCTCCAAGGGGCTGGAGGAACCAATGACACCCCCCCCAACCAGGATGCCCTTTCTCCATCACCCCAAGGCTGGGCAGGCTTGTTATGAGGTTGTGCTCATGACTCAGGTTTGTGTGTGTAATCCCTGCATCTCTGCTGTGCTGCAGGTGGCTGTTGTGGCTCTGATGTCAAGCAGTACGTGTACGGAGGCTGGGCCTGGGCTTGGTGGTGCATCACTGACACCCAAAGGTAAGGACCCCCCTTTTCTTCGTGGTTTTGGAGTAGGAATTCGACAAAGCCATCCCAGTGGGGCAGTCAGCAGTATCTTTAGGAACATGGGACCTCTCCTCAAACACAGTTGTTTACTGACAGAAACTCCACCAAGCTGAGAGGGCTGCAGCCTGGCTGGTCAGTGTGTTCCATGCTGTGCTGGTGCTGAGGAAGGCAGGAACCCTGCTTCCTCTGCTGTGCCCCAGGCTCTCACAGAGGTGCTGGGCAGCAAAGCACTGGGCTGGCTCATCCCTCAGCTCACCAGAGCTTGTATCATGCAGTGCCCAGTGCCCCCTCCTGCTCCTCCACGCTCTGTTCCTAGCCATGTGCTGACTGCTCTCACCTTGGGAGCAGAGTGTGTTCCTGATTAAAACCATGGGATTTCCTTTCTCTGCCTTTCCTCAGTGATGGATTTTGCTTGCTGCTTCTTCCTGCACTGGTCTCTGAACTAATACGCTTTGATAATGCTGCTTTCCTGCTAATACAGCTCTTTGTCTTTAGGATCTGTGGGAGTGTTGCTCTCAACACCTTCCCCATGCTCACTGGTGCAGGTTTCCCCCATCTGTGTAAAAAAACATAGCAGGGAAAAGGATAATGTTGGGACTTTTGGGTTTTGCACTGAGTGATGGTCAGAGTTAACCCTTACTGCCTGATCTTGCCACCTCTTCTCCCTGTTCACATGTTGGCACCAGCAGACTAAGTGAGCACGTTCTGCCCTTGCTCTGCAGACGATACACTGCTGTAGCTGCTCTTCACCTCAAAGCAGGCAGCTTTGCCTTGTGCAAAGGGGTCCTGGATGTTGCTGGCACTGACTGGTGACAGCTCCCAGGTCCTCTCCAGACTGCTCATACTCAGGGTTGCTATGAGAACATGAAGAGGTCTCAGCTAACACCACACGTTTTAGCCTGGGCTCTCCAGCCATGCTCATATGAGGCAGGAGGGGAAGGAAAGGCCCAGCCTGTGGGTTCAGTCCTTAATAATTCCATTTGATCTGGACAAGCTTCATTCCCAAACTTTTGTGAGGTATCTCATGGTAGAGCCATTGATTTAAATGAGTGGTTCTAGCTCCTCCTCTAGTGTGAGAAGCGCAGAGGACAGTGCAGGACCTTGACCTGCCATGTGCAGGACATAACAGATGTATTCAGGAGGCTCACTTATTAAGTTAAGCAGAGTGCAGGGCCAAGAGCTGCTTGCCAGGAGTGAGCTGTCATATGATAGAGGTCTGTGCATTATTTAGCAAACGGGGCTCTTGGCAGCAATTCCAGCACCCAAACAAATCTTTGACTTTAAAACCTATCCTCTGATTCACACCATGGGATGTGGGGCTTAATTCTCCTTTGGAAAACAGAACCTTTCCCAAACGAGCTGTGCCACAGATGGAGCCTGCTGCATTAACATGAAGAGAGAGGCACATTTCCTCCCCTGAAATTAGGGCATCTTTTCTGGGGCTGCCAGTGCTGAAAGCAAGAGAGGCAGCAGCTATTGTGTTCCTGTCAGCGGCATCCCGCCAGGTAGCACTAACCTGGGAACAAAAGGAACAGTTAGAGCTGGCAGGGTGCTGGGCTCTTATCCTGCTGCAACCTTGAGGACTGGGGAAAGAAAGGAAAGGAAAAGTCCTGTCCTTGTTTAAGGGTCAGGAATAAAAGCAGAGAGGGAGGCAGCATGGTCTTGCATGCCTTTGGGGGAGCCAAGTGGTGTTATTCATCCTCTCAGGGCAGCATTTGGAAGCACCCCCTCTCATCAATGCTTGAGCCAGAGGTGGGTAGCCAGGCCCTTAGCATTTAAAACTTTCCTGTCCCCTCTTAAATGTTGGCATAGAAGCATGTGAATCATCACAGAAAGGAATGTTCTGTGTGTAAAGATTGCTTCCAGCAGAGGATTCCTGCAGGATGTCAGTCCAGGTGGGATACGTGGTTCAGTTTCATCTGCAGTGACTCGTGGCACACAGGGTTGAGATGAACCCTTTCATCCTCACCAAAAGAAGCTGTGATGAAGGGAGCTGCTCTGGCCCCATGTTATGGAGCCCTGGGAGAAACAGATGGGAGAAAGGCAGACTGACCAGGGAGAAGCTGAAACCTGAAAGTCTCATCTTGTCCTTTGCAATGAGTGTCTTACTCTCTGATAACTGCTTTGTGTATTTGCTGTCCTACCCTTATTCCTCGCTGCTCAGACTGTCTTTGGAGGTTATGACCATCCTCTGTCGCTGTGAGAATATTGAGACGTCGGAGGGGGTCCCACTGTACGTAACAGGGGTTGCACAGGTAATAATCCACCAGCTTCCTAACACTGTGTCTGACTTTATCCCTCTGTTCTGAGCAGCAGCAACAGCAGCAGCAGCAGCAGGATAACATAGAAACTAATGGTTTTCTAATGGGACAGTTGAAATCTCAATACCCTCCTCTCCTTCCCCTCCTCTGGCACTTGCCCTGAGGCGCACTCCACAGCTTATAGGTAATGCAGACAGATGCACACTGGGCAAGTCCCAAATCCAGCATTGCTGAACTGGCTCCTTCTGATGATGCTGCAGACATTCACCCCAGCTGGAACCCTTCACTTGACAGCACTGCTTCCACTGCGTGCTTGGTGGAGAGCAGAAGGGCATTGCTTTTGTGTGGAGCCACAAGCAGGCCAGATTGGGTTCTGGACAGGTTTTGTGCCATTTCAAAGGGAGTCCTGTACACATATGGGCAAATGACAACTGTACCTGGCTCTGCAGTTTTGCATATGGGTTTCCACTCAGCCCTTCTCCCTCTACACGGAGACAGTGCCTGGGTTGGATATTGTCACGTTTGAAAGTACAGCATAGAGACCTTGGATGAGTTGCAGCACACAGGACTGACGTTTACACTGTGAGCAGTTAGGAACTGGTGTAACAGTCATTACCAAGCATCCCTGTGACTTGCTGGCTAGCAAGCAGCACAGTCAGTTAAACTCAAAGTATAGGTTAGGTGTTCAGAAGGCTAAAATCCTGCACTAGCTGATTAAAGCTGTGAATGCAGAAAATGCCTTTGTGCATCCTGGACAGTGGGATCTGCTTTATCAGCTCCCAGCTTGTGTGCCAGTTTCATTAGGACAGTGACCAAGGCAGGTATGAACTTGCAGAGATAGATTTCAGCACCTGCAGCCAATCCTGCAGCGACTCTGTGTGCACACAGCAGCCCAGTGCAGCCCCTTCATGGTTCAGAGGTTTGACCTCATGTTCACTGATATAAGTTCTCTGCCCTGTGGCTCCTTGTCCTGACTCCCGATCCCTTCCCGGCTTGTTAGGGTTGATGGGAGAGCCAGGCTTTGCTTCCTGCCATGGCCAAGCAGCATGTCTCTTGTTTCACCAAACCATGACCTGCAGATTGCCAGGTCTGGCTAAAGTAACTTGAGCTCGAGTGACTGAGAAAGCTCTGGAGCTGCAAGATGTGCAGCCTGGTCTGGTGGAAGGTGTCCTTGCTCATAGAAGGGGAGCTGGAACTGGATGAGCTTTAAAGGTTCTTCAGCCCCAAACCATTCCATGATTCTATGATGCCTGATACTACATAGGGACGGCTCTAAAGAGCTGGAGACTCACTTCTGTCTGCCTTTGGATCACGGGACACGGGAATAATATCAGGAGAGGTAAACCAGAGCAGGAGGTAGGTCTGTGTTAATGCTCACTCAGTGAGGGCAAAGGTTTTGCCATGCCCTGGGCTCCATGGGGCAGGAGCACCCCAGGTCCATGCTGTGCTTTTAAACCAGTGACAGCAGCCAGCGAGAGCACCGGGGCAGCTCAGCCTCTGGTGGGAGGCCCTTTGTGGTCCCAAAGCTGCCAGCTTCTGGTCTCCTTGTAGCCCAGCAGAAGGGGAAGGGTCATGGTATCACTTCTAGCCTGGCTCCCAGCCTTCCTCTGCTCATGAATTGCCTTTAAGCATTGCCTGCAAATCTATTTCTTGACCAGTGTCTGTCTCCAGTCACAGATGGAGCCTCTCGGCTGCCTTCTGGGCCTGTCTTACATTACCTGTGATGAGTGCAGCGAGTCGCCCGGGGCAGGAGGTGCAAAGGGAAGAGCTGAGTGTGTGTAACGTGGAAACGTGCAAATATCTTACGTTTTTTGGCAGGATTTCCCTAGAGATAATGACGTTACAGCCCAGGTGTGAGGACGTAGAGACGGCGGAGGGGGTAGCTTTAACTGTCACAGGTGTGGCACAGGTACAGTAACTCCAAACATCATTTCAGGAATGCATGTCTCTAAAGCACATCTTGTTTGCCTCCTTAAGAGGTGGCTGGTGTCCAGGAACAGAAGCCAACTGCTCTGGAACCTTGTACACGCTGTCCTTGTTGGTTCAGACACATCCCATGTTGGGAAGGGGGTTGTGATCTCTCCTCCTCTTCCCCAAAATCATTCCTCTTTTCCCTGTGTCTCATTTGTCCACGTGGCAAATGAGCTGTCTGGGGGTGGCTTGACCTGTGTGTGAAATGCTCATGTACTGTGGTGCCCGTGGAGCTGTGTGTGAGCCTGCAGGACTGAGCCACTCACTCCTGAGGTAGTATTGAGCATTTTGTTGCTTTGGATTATTATTATTAGTATGTGGACCTTGTAATTCTTCACGGTGAGTTAAAGCTTAAAAAAGAGTTTAATCCCTCCAGGCACTAAAATTTGTGTGTCAAATTGCTGGCTTTAGTTGAATTTTGATTCTCTCAAGCCTTCTTCCTATGTGGAAACCAGCTCTTGCTGCCTGTGATAGCACACAAACACCTAAGTTCCTTAGACTCTGAGCTAAGTCCTCATGCAGGGTCTTGTGTCCAGGTCCTGCCTTAGGGAGGATGCTGTCAGGAAAACGTTAGCTTTTGACAGAGCCTGACTCCCCAAATAGGCAATTGGATGCTTTGATTGAGAATTGCTCCTGACAGCTCATGCTGGCTGTAGAAACCCAAGAGAGTGGTTCTCAGTGCACACAAGGCTGTGGGCACTGGGTATCCGAGGCATGTCCAGGTCTGTTGTTGCATGAGAGGTGACTGCCACGTTCCCTGAAGAGAGCAGTGGAGCTGCTGAGTGATGCAGTGATGTCCCATGTGCATCTGAAGCCCCCCCAAGGGAGAGCACTGTGGGTGCTGCAGCCCTTTTAAGACCAAGCACTTGACACACTCCACCCAGTGCATTCCAGCCCAGGTTCATGGGTTTGCTCTGCCCTGACGTTGCAGTGGGGCTGTGTCTGTGTAAGGGAGGATGGGATCCAGCCAGGGGTGGATTCTGGGTTCTCACACACAGCAGAAGGGCTGGGCAGGACCGTGGCTCACCCTTGGGGAGCAGCTACATGCACAGGAGCCAGCATCTTGGCCTCATCCTGGCTCCAGTGATGTGAATCAGCATCCTGGTTTTGTTTTCAGTTCTTTATATCCATATATATATCCCATATCCATATTTATGTCACATAACCACAGCAGTCTTTGCATGGTTGGCAAAATGCCTGCACCCATGTTCCCCCTCACACACATCTCATAAATGTGTAGACTTTTCCTTCTCTATTTGGAAAAGGTATTTCTCTGAAGCCAGCATCCCTTTTTGACCCAGTTTGGGGACATCCTTCCATTGCCTACAGAATGGTCTAGGCTGATACATGGTGACAGAAGGCTGGATCACTGCGTGCCTTGATTTAAAACTGCAGCTCCCAATCCATCTCAGTGATGTTATTCTCTCTTCTCACTGTTCATTTCTTTCACTCTCAATTACTATTAAAGGTTTAGGCTTGGGAGCTGCAAGGATTTGCCCTGCTGAAAGCAGGTTTGAGGCAGTTATGGCTGTGCATGGCAGAGGTTACCTTGATTCTGCAGTACTTTTGAAGTAAACCTTTTTTCTTTTAAGGGCTTGTGCAGGAAAGGAACAAAGCCAAGAAATGATTCCTAGAGACCTTTACCACCTTTAAAAGTGGTTGCTGTATTAACAAAGGGCTTAATGTGCGTAAGGATGCTGTCCTTGTCTTGGTGTAATGAGGACACACCAGTAGCTTCCTTCTTGTGTTGGGTGAGTGCTTGCGGTGCTGCTGCCTTAAGCCACATTGGGCTTCATATCCCATTCCTAAGCCTCAAGCCAGCTGGATTATCCCTGGCCAGCCCTCGCTGTGGCTGCAGCTGCCTGGAGCTGGGTGCATCACTATCCATCCCCATGGGACTGCTTTATGGAAGCTCTCTGATTTCCTGCCAGCTCCACTCTTCCTGATGTGAATGACGTTTGAAGCAGCCCCCCTGTCTGAAATAGGCAACGAGCTGAGCACAGATTGCTCAACTCTGGCTCCTTTTGTGCAACCTTTGGCTTTGTGGGTTGACATCTATATTCAGCCCAGCTCCTTCAGGCTGCCCAGGGCTCTCTGGTGCAGGCTTTATTCAGAGCCTGAATGGTTCTTGTTCCTGTTAAGCACCCCAGGGACTCTCTTAACCAACCCCCTGCTCCATCCTATCTGCAGTTCACAAAGGATGGGGAGTCTTTGGAGAGGTGGAATTGCTGGCACGTGCACACCATAAACCTTGCTGCTGAGCCTGATTGGGTTTGGTATTGCAAAAACCTCCTGCCTTGTGCAGGACCCACACTGGGTGCAGCTCTCCCAAGGCCCCCTTGTGTGGGAAGTGCACACTGCTGGCCTTGGGGTGCCATGGCCTGGCCCTGGGGTTCTCCCTTAGGAGGTGGTGGCTGGTCCCAGCTATCCTGCTCTCTGGCAGTGCTGCTGTTTGGCTCCAGAGGTTAGGCTGCAGGATCGTTTTGGACTCACAGGTTAAGATCAGGGATGGGGTCTATAGGCTGTGGACCCATCAGAGGGCAGCTTTGAGGAGGTCCCTGAGCCAGGACCGTGCTGGCATCCCAGGTAGCAGGCAGGGCACTGTGCTGGGTGCCAGCAGCATCTCATGGGACAGGAGGCGCTGCCCAGCGCAGATGTCTCCATCAGAGGGTGCTGTGGGACCTGCTCAGCACCCAGAGCTCCCAGCAGAGCTGTGTGGCTGGTACGGCCCCTTCCTTCTCTGGTGCTGCCACAGAGACACCCCTGTGTCCAAACTGGACCTGGTCACCGGGAGCTGCCACTTTGGTGGGTTGTATCTCCTCATAGCTGGGTCCTGTGGAGCTCCATGAGCACACATCTCATTTTTAACCCACTTTGCCTTACAAGAGCAGCCCCATGACCATCTGGAGACCCTGGATGTCTGGATTTAGGGATGCTTTTACCTCTGGCTCTGAGTGGGAGGTGAAAGCAGTGCTGGGGTAGTTGTGTCCCACCTCTGGGGTTTGTTACCACATTGACCATGCAGAGAGGGACAGCCAGGTCCTGGCCATAGCACACTGGGGTCACTGCAAAGTGCATTTGGGAGCTCCCAGCCATGAGAAGGGCAAACCAGTGCACTATGGCCATCGCATCTCATCTCTCCTTGCAGGGAACACCGAATGGAGCCCCTGTTCCCAAGCTGCTTCTTGGGCATGTGAGACCCTTCCTTGTTCCCTGCTTTTCCTGGGTCAGAAAAGTTAATTCTAGTGAAGGAGGAGGAAGAGAAAGGTAACAGAATGGCTTTTGGACAGGGGCAGTACTAGAAAGCCCTCTCCTCCTAGGTCTGGTGTTGGTGCAGTAGCTCAGGGCTTTTTTGGTAGGGTTTTCATCTGGTGGGACCTGCCCCAGCATCACCCCATGGCTGCTGCTGTGGGGTAGATGGCTGCAGGGAGCACCTCTCCCCACTGAGCTGCAGTGGGGTTTGCAGAGGTGTCTGCCCCATGCATGTGCCTGCAGCAGGGCTGTTCCCAGCAGCAGGGGCTGGTTTGGTGGCCTGGGTGAAACAGCTCAGCATGGTCCCTTGGAGCATCAGTAGCAGGGGGGCAGCCTGGTGGTGGTGGTGCTGCTGCTGCTGCTGCTGTTGGGTGCCTGTGCCTCTTTGAGCAGCAGCCTTCAGTCCCTTTGGGTTTGTCTCCTTTCTCTAGGTGAAGATCATGACCGAGAAGGAGCTCCTGGCTGTGGCCTGCGAGCAGTTCTTGGGGAAGAACGTGCAGGATGTGAAGAACGTGGTCCTTCAGACCCTGGAGGGACACCTGCGCTCCATCCTAGGTGTGAGGGGACTCATGCTCTTGAAGGCATCTTGACTAGCTTTCTCTGCTGCCTGCTCCCAGCAGTATTGCTGCCACCCCAGCACCCATACTGGCTGCAGAGGGGACATCTGAGGGCGTTCCACCCCTCCAGCAGCTCCTGGGTGTTGTGATAAATGGGTTTGCAGTGCCTGCACCCAGAGATGTCTGAGTCCCCATGGGATCCGGGTGGCACACGTGTCTGGTGGCTGTGCTGTGGCACTGAGATGTTGGTGCACGCCCTAGCGCCCAGGCCTGAGGAGATTAGGGACAGCAGGGATGCTGCTGAGCTTAGAGCATGTTGTTGTGTGTTACCTGGTCCAAATAAAGCACTTTGCTTTCCTCCCCTCTGCAGGTACCCTGACAGTGGAGCAGATCTACCAGGACAGGGATCAGTTTGCCAAGCTGGTGCGGGAGGTGGCAGCTCCCGACGTGGGTCGCATGGGGATCGAGATCCTGAGCTTCACCATCAAGGTATGCTCAGGTGTAGGGTGCTGTGCTATGGGGCAGAGCTGTAGGAGCAGCAGAACAGAGCCTGGCCCTGGCTCCTCTGCTGCAGTGAGGTGACAGACTCCAGCTCACAGCCGGCTCCAGCCCCTCCGGGTGTTTCCATGACAGCCGCCGCTGCGTGTCCTGTATCCAGGCAGATGGCAAAGAGCACCCAGTTAAATCAGCTGCCTCTGTAAAACACGGCTTGAGGAGAGAGCTCCCTGATAACCGAGCTGCCAGGGAGACAGGGGGAAGATGTCAGGAGAGCCCAGCTCCCCCTGCCACCCCTGCTTGATTTGGCAGCAGGCTGACGTGGCTCCTCCTGACCCTGGCCTACCCGCACCAGTGATCGTTCTGAGCTTCAAGGGGAAGCGAGCAGGATGGAATCACTCATTTGAAGTGGTTGTGACTCATCTCCCCCTCTCCAGGATGTCTATGATAAAGTGGATTACCTGAGCTCCCTGGGGAAGACTCAGACTGCGGCTGTCCGGAGGGATGCAGACATTGGGGTGGCAGAGGCTGAGCGAGATGCTGGCATTCGGGTGAGTCCAGAGCCATGCTGGGCTTCCCTAGAGCAGCCTCTTCTGCTCCAGCTGAGCTCTGCTCTCTGTTTCCTCCCTTAGGAGGCACAGTGCAAGAAGGAAATGCTGGATGTCAAGTTCATGGCAGATACCAAAATAGCAGAATCCAGACGGGCTTTTGAGTTGCAGAAAGCTGCCTTCAGTGAGGAGGTCAACATTAAGGTGAGAGGTGTCTGACAGCACACTGCTCATCCCTGCCTGGTTCCCCATGGTGTTGGTAGCTCCGGGCCTTGTCACATTCCTCCTCCTGCACGTGTTAGGAGAGCTGGAGGTGGGGAATCCAGGTTGAAAGACAGAAACCTGGGTTGTGTTCACAACAGTTAGGTGGGACAAGGAGAGGAAAGGATGGGGAGAGTCATCCATGCTGTACCTGGAGCTGGTGCGTGACTCAGTAACTTAATATAGCAACAGTATGATTTCTTAATACAGCAACAGTATCTGTTAATACCATAAGGTCAAAGTCTTTTATCACTTCATATCTGCCAAATCCATTACAAAAGCTTCTGGTTGCTTAGCCTGGAAATTAAAAGATTCAGGGGAGAATTTATCACTCTGTATAACTACCAGAAAGGAGGATGGAGAGAGGAAGTGGCTGGTCTCTTCTCCCAAGTAACAAGCGATAGCACAAGAGGTAGCGGCCTCAAGCTGCACCAGGGGATGTTTAGATTGGATATTAGGAGAACTTTCTTCACAGAGAGGGTGATCAGGCATTGGAACAGGTTGCCCAGGGAAGTGGTAGAATCACCGTCCCTGGAAGTGTTCAAAAACCATGTCAATGAGGCCATTGATGACGTGGTTTAGAGGTGAACTTGCTAGTTCTGGAGTAAAGGTTGGGCTTGATGATCATGAAGGTCTTTTCCAGCCTAAATGGTTCTAAATGCTATGGAAGAGTGCATAGGAAAGTGCAGCTCTAAGGAGTGGGATGTCACCCCTGGGCTGAGGTTTGGCAGCAGGAGCTCTCTCTGCTTTCAGTGCTTGCCATGGGCCCTTAGGTCTGTGCTCAGGAGAGGATGGCCAAGACCCCTCTCGTGTCTCTGTGTGCAGACTGCAGAGGCCCAGCTCGCCTACGAGCTCCAGAGCGCTCGGGAGCAGCAGAAGATCCGGCAGGAGGAGATTGAAATCGAGGTGGTGCAGCGCAAGAAGCAGATCGATGTGGAAGAGAAGGAGATCATCCGCATGGAGAAGGAGCTCATTGCCACCGTGAAGCGGCCGGCCGAGGCCGAAGCCTACCGCATCCAACAGATCGCCGAGGGCGAGAAGTGAGTGAGCCCCGAGCCTGGGGCTGCAGGAGGGATGGAGGGGAGCAGCGCTGCAGGAGGGATGGAGGGGAGCAGCGCTGCAGGAGGGATGGAGGGGATCCAGGGTGCAGGAGGGATGGAGGGGAGCAGCGCTGCAGGAGGGATGGAGGGGAGCAGCGCTGCAGGAGGGATGGAGGGGAGCAGTGCTGCAGGAGGGATGGAGGGGAGCAGCGCTGCAGAGGAGGGGAGCAGGCTGCAGGAGGGATGGAGGGAGAGCGCTGCAGGAGGGATGGAGAGGAGCAGCGCTGCAGGAGGGATGGAGGGAGCAGCGCTGCAAGGGATGGAGGGGAGCAGCGCTGCAGGAGGGACGGAGGGGAGCAGCGCTGCAGGAGGGATGAGGGATCCAGGCTGCAGGAGGGATGGAGGAGCAGCGCAGGAGGGTGGGGGACAGCGCTGAGGAGGGATGGAAGGAGCACGCTGCAGGAGGTGAGGGGAGCGCTGCAGGAGGGATGAGGGAGCAGCGCTGCAGGAGGGGGAGCAGCGCTGCAGGAGGGATGGAGGGGAGCAGCGCTGCAGGAGGGATGGAGGGAGCAGCGCTGCAGGAGGGACGGAGGGAGCAGCGCTGCAGGAGGGATGGAGGGGAGCAGCGCTGCAGGAGGGATGGAGGGGAGCAGCGCTGCAGGAGGGACGGAGGGGAGCAGCGCTGCAGGAGGGATGGAGGGGATCCAGGCTGCAGGAGGGATGGAGGGGAGCAGCGCTGCAGGAGGGATGGAGGGGAGCAGCGCTGCAGGAGGGATGGAGAGGAGCAGCGCTGCAGGAGGGATGGAGGGGAGCAGCGCTGCAGGAGGGACGGAGGGAGCAGCGCTGCAGGAGGGATGGAGGGGAGCAGCGCTGCAGGAGGGATGGAGGGGAGCAGCGCTGCAGGAGGGATGGAGGGGAGCAGCGCTGCAGGAGGGATGGAGGGGAGCAGCGCTGCAGGAGGGATGGAGGGGAGCAGTGCTGCAGGAGGGATGGAGGGGAGCAGCGCTGCAGGAGGGATGGAGGGGAGCAGTGCTGCAGGAGGGGAGCAGTGCTGCAGGAGGGATGGAGGGGAGCAGTGCTGCAGGAGGGGAGCAGTGCTGCAGGAGGGATCCGGGCTGCAGGAGGGCTGTGTTTCCCTCTCCAGGGTGAAGCAGGTCCTCCTCGCTCAGGCAGAAGCAGAGAAGATCCGGAAGATCGGGGAAGCGGAGGCTTTTGTGATCGAGGCCATCGGGATGGCGGAGGCTGAGCGGATGAAGCTGAAAGCTGAAGCTCTGCAGCAGTATGGAGAGGCTGCCCAGCTGGCTCTAGTGCTGGATGCACTGCCTGAGGTGAGGAGGGAGCAGCGTTCCCTTGCTCCAGGGAGATCCCAGCCTGGGCCTGGTCTCCTGTGGTGTGCAGGGAGCTTTGCCCAGCAGGCTGTTGAGCAGCTCCTTCACTCTGCTCATGCCCCTCTCCTTCCAGGCTGGGGACTGACCTGCTGGAAAGTAGCAAAGGGGAAAGGGACCTGGGGGTCCTGGTGGGTAGGAGGATGACCATGAGCCAGCAATGTGCCCTTGTGGCCAAGAGGGCAAATGGCATCCTGGGGTGCGTTAGAAAGGGTGTGGTTAGTAGGTCAAGAGAGGTTCTCCCCCTCTATTCTGCCTTGGTTAGGCCACATCTGGAATATTGCATCCAGTTCTTGGCCCCTCAGTTCAAGAAGGACAGGGACCTGCTGGAGAGAGTCCAGTGCAGAGCCACAAAGATGATGAAGGGAGTGGAACACCTCCCTTATGAGGAGAAGCTGAGGGAGCTGGGTCTCTTCAGCTTGGAGAAGAGGAGACTGAGGGGTGACCTCATCAGTGCTTAAATACCTAACGGGTGGGTGTCATAATGATGGAGCTAGGCTTTTTTCAGTGATGCCCAGTGATAGAACAAGGGGCAGTGGGTGTAAACTGGAGCATAGAAGGTTCCACGTTAACATCAGGAAGAACTTCTTTACTGTGAGAGTGACAGAGCACTGGAACAGGTTGCCCAGGGGGGTTGTGGAGTCTCCCCCATTGGAGATATTCAAGGCCCGCCTGGACAAGTTCCTGTGTGATGTACTCCAGGTTACCCTGCTCTTGCAGGGGGGTTGGACCAGATGATCTCTTGAGGTCCCTTCCAACCCTTGGGATTCTGTTGATTCCCTGCTTCCCCAGATCGCTGCCAAAGTGGCTGCTCCCCTCTCCAAAGTGGATGAGATCGTTATCCTCGGGGGAGAGAGCAACAGCACCATGTCGGAGGTGAACCGTCTGCTGGCCGAGATCCCTGCCTCCGTGCGTGCCCTCACCGGTGTGGACCTCACAAAGGTGAGCCATGCACCAGCACCTGCAGCTCTCCAGGGCATAGGGAATTGCCTGGAAGCTTCCAGACTCACCCGGGTGCAGGGAGCTCTCTGCCTCTCCCTCTTCCAGCCCTAACAGCTTCTTTTCCCCTCCTGCAGATTCCCCTGATCCAGAAAGCCACCGGAGCCCAGGCATGAGGCTGGCCAAGCCAAAGCTAATGAAGATCACTCCCTGTTAATGCACTCAGACATCAACTGCCTTCAACACGTGGGAATTCCTTTTATATCAAAGACAATCAGGGTTTCATTTCGAAGCTCTGGTGCCTTATTTTGTAGGGCCAGAAGGTTGCATGTCCAATCAGCTGCTCTTTTTATTACCAACGGGAGGGGGGGGTTATTTTGTAGTTACCTGTATTGGACCAGGCTGGGGTTTGGATCCAGCCCCCAGCTACAACCAGCAGCTTGTCTGGTGTTGCAATCCCAGTGCCTTGCTGTTCTCTGTCCTCGGAGCAGAGGCTCTATGGGATGCGGAGCTGGAGGAAGAGAACAGCCAGGACCCATCTCCTCTTGGCTCCCTGTCCTCCTCCTTGGGCACTGCCCATAGCCTCTTCCTGTGGCTTTCCCTCTTGGAGTGTCCCAGTGGCTTCCCAGAGGTGGCAATGAGCACAGTGCCCATTCCCATGCTGCCTTCCCTCACTGGGATCTGGAGTGGGGAGAGCCCAACCAAGCCCTGGCTGAGCCAGACTCGGTGAGGTCCCAGCACCAGGAGTGCCAAAAGGTAGCACTGTGCCAAAGCCACCCTGTGCCCCGAGAGGGAGGTGGAACCACTGTGGTGGCTGTGCCCAGGAGCCCCACATCTCGCTCCCCACAGCTCCTGCCCCAGAGGGACGTTGGGGACCAGGCACTGCAGTGGGGACAGGGGCCAGCAGCCAGGGCTGGCTCTCAGTGCAGAAGCCCCTACCTCGCTCAGTCCCTGTGGCTTTGCTGCCCTGAGTGCCAATGGGAAAGGAGTTGTCCCTTGTCTATGTCTCATAGAGGGCCCTGCGCTGGCCCCTGTCCCTTCCATGGCTGTGCTCAGTGTGGCTATTGCCAAACCCATGTGTGAAGCCAACTGTGGGGTGCCGGCTCCCTCACATTGCCATAGGGCGAGCGCAGGGATGCGAGTCCCCTCCACCTCGTGTCAGTGCCCCTTTGTGGCCATTCCCTTTGCCAGGAGTGACCTATGGTCACAGGTGGGTGCTGTGGGGCCGGTGGCACCCTGTCCCCCTCCCTGCCATCGGTGTTATCAGCCCCCCATGTGTGTGGTGGTGCTGGTGGGTGTGCCGGGCGTTGTGCCCTATCTGCCTGCGCTGTGCATGGCTCTGTCCCTGCCACCCTCGCTGCTGGATGATAATAAAGCCTTGTCACCGTGTCCCTTGGCTCTGGCTTGTGCCTCCTGCACCCATCACCCCAGCACTGGTGCCTGACCCACTGCGGTGTGGGGCTGCCCGGGGGCTGGAGTGAATGGGTGTCCCACTGGGATGAGGGGGGGCATGGAAGTTAGGTCCCAGCTCATGCTGCTCCACAGCCCCCATGGCCTTGTGGTCTCCATAAGGTCCCCATGGGCTCCTTGCCCCATGCCTGGGGCTGCTGTTGGGGGGGGTAGAGCCTTGTCCTGCTCCCATATGGATGAAGGTGGTGATGAGCTCCACAGCATCACCTTGATCAACCCGGGAGCTGGTCACTGTGGGGGCACCCCACAACCAGGGTTTGGAGCAGGGCTGATGCAGCCTTCCCTGGTGGCACCACTTTGTGCTACCCCCATGTCCCAGCCTCACGCACCCTGTGCTGAGGGACATTGGGGTGGCTCAGGGGGTCCCTGTCCTTCCTGCACACGGGAGCAGTGACAGCAGCCATGGGGGGGCTTTGCTCCAGTGCTCTCCCTGCGGCAAAGGGGGTTCCTCAAGACCCCCCTGTTCTGAGCAGGGACGCAGGCAGGACAAAGGGCCCCATCCCTTGCACCCTGCAGATAGGTGGGGTGGGGACAGCTCTGCAGCCCCCATGCTCTTATCTGCAGCCACGCACACTGCCTGGAGCAGGGCCTGCAGCAGCACCCAGGGGTCCCACATCAGCTCCATGGCACAGACCCTGGGGCCCCTCTGCCCCATGGGGTGCAGGGCTCCAGCACAGGCCTGTGTCTGGGGACCCACAGGCAGCTGGGCTGGCTGGGATGGGGATAATCCCATGGGGCTGGCGGGGGGCACTTTGCCTTTATCCTGTTTTATGTGTTGGGGTCCCTAGAGCTCTGCAGCCCCCCGCAGGACCCCTCTGGTGACAGGAGGGGACCGTCCCTTTCATCCCCACAGGTCCCAGCATCCTGATGGATGGAGCTGGGGCTTCACCTTGTGCCACCTCCTGCCATGGCCTGGCCTGGCTTTGGGGGATGTGGGTGATGCTGCCCCTGTTCCTGTCACCCAGAGGCAGCAGCGAGCCTGGGGACAGCCCGAGTGTGAGGGCAGGGTCCCCGATAGCCGGACACTGCTGCTTATCGGGGTCCCCATGCAGGTCCTGGCAGGGGGCTATCACCTCCCTGCAGGCAGCTTCCAGGAACCATGGCCTGGCGCGAACAACGGGGTGCAATGGCACGGGGATGACAGACTGGGGGTCCCCACAATGGGGATGGGGGACACTTATGACCAGAGGGACGTTTATGGCCATTGGTTGTAATGGGAATAAGTATGATCAGGGTCATGCATAGTGAGTGGCACAGTGCCCTTGGGGACACACATGGCTGGGTGTATGTCCTATGGGGACACAAAGACATCCCTCCAGGGGACTTATCCCCTTGGGAAGGAGGCACATAAGACAAGGGACATGGACTGCTGTGGGACGTGCCCCTGCAGGCTGGGGGCACATCTTTGGGGGGGGAACACACACCACAAGGGCCCTCACACTCACATCCATGTACCCTGCTTAGGGGGACCCCTGCACACGTGTGTTATTCCCACCATCCTCACCCTGGGCCCCATCCCCATGGGGTTCCCATATCCCAGATGTGCGTCCAACAACTGGGAACCAGTCTGCAATGGGTAGCTCCCAGTTTGGGGTCCCCGCAGTTATAGAGAGGGAGCATCCTGGTGTCCATAATGCCTCTGCCATAGGGGGTGTCACCCTGAAGAACCCCCCCATCCTCAAGAACCCCACTAGGCTGGGTGGGAGCTGTTTAGGGTTGTGCCCCCCCCGCCCCAGACATGAAGGGGTTAAGGGCGCCGTCCAGCTGTGCAGTGCAGATGTGAGATATGCAGATGAGGCAGAGCAGGTTTTATAAGGCGGGTGCAGAGCCAGCACCCCCCAAAGCCACAGTGACACCCCCAGGGGTAGGTACCACCTACTGGGAGCTGCTGCTCCGCTCTGGGGCAATGGGACTGGGGAGAGGGACAAGGAAAGGGTAGGGGGGATATTGAATGGGGAAGGCATCGAGATCCTCCATCCTGCTGCAGGGTGGTGGGATTGGGGTGGATAAAGGGTTGGGGGATGCAAGGGTTGGGAGGGCACTGGAGCTTCCATCCTGCAGTGGGACCAGGGGGATAGGGATGGCACAATGGGAATGCTGGGTGGGGAGGTGGTGGCTCTAACCCTTCTGTGTGTGTGTCCCCCACAGGCTGTGCGTGCTGCTCGCCCCATAGCACACACCATAAGCCGCACTGGGAAGGATATCATCGTATACTGTAAGTTCACTATGAGACACTACAGTATAGATGATGTACTCCCCTGCGCTGCACCACCGCCACCGAGGCACCAACGGGCCCAGGACCAGCACCATGGAGGGATGGGGGATGCGGGGTTGGGATGGGGGACACGGGATGGGGAGGGGGGGAGGTTGGGATGGGGGTACCATGGGTGCAGCCAAGGACCTGTGGCCGGCGGGGAAACCGTTACCATTACTGAGTTTAGTAATGGTAACGGTTCTGCCGACGGCCAGGCACGCGGCATGGATGTGGCACGACATGGCACGGACACGGCATGGACACGGCGATGGAGCACCGGGATGGGGCATGGAGCAATAAAGGGGGTTACAGCACCATGGATGCGGCTCTTCTTGTTCATCGTGTCCCCTGGGGGCTCTGGGCCCGGGGCAGGGTCACTGGGAGCACTGGGAGGCTCGGGGAGTGCATTTGGGTGCAGGTGGGATGAGGAACCTTGGGCTGCATTTGGGTGTACAGAGGTGCAGGGTGCACTGGGGTGTATTTCAAAGGGGCACTGGGGAGAACTGGGAGGCACTGGGGTGCATTGTGGGGACTGAGTAGACATGGGGAGCACTGGGGTGTATAGCAGGGGGAGCATTGGGATGCACAGGGATACACTGAAGAGGGGAACTGGGAGCACCGGGGCTTATTGGGGAGCACGGAGGAGTAGTGGATGTGTGGGGTGTGTTGTGGGGTGCACCGGGCATCCTGGGGAGCACTGGGATGGGCTGGGGAGTGTTGTAGGGAGCACTGGGACACACTGGGATGTGTTGTGGGGTGCACTGTGTGCACTGGGGAGTGCTCCAGAGGGCACCGGGGTTCACTGGGCTGTGTGATGGGGGCACTGGGAGCACTGGGAGGTGGGGGGGGCACTAGGACCGCTGTGAGGGTCCCACCGCCCTGCACCGCGCTGTGGGGCCAGCAGGGGGCACCCCCTCCTACCCGTGCCCTCCCACTCCCGCTTCCTTCCCACACTCCCCCGCGGCGGGCAGCGGCGCGCTGCTCCCGCCCGCTTCCTCTCTACTCCTCCCCTCTGCACCAATGAGAGCGGGCGGCGCTCCTGCTCCCGCCATGCCCCGCGGCGGGCAAGATGGCGGCACCCATGGCCGCGGTGGCGGCGCGGTCCGTACGCTGGGTCGTGCGGGCCGCAGCGGCGGGGCCGCTCCTGCTGGGCCCAGGTGAGGGCAGCGGGGCCGGGGTGCAGAGAGGGGGGATAACGCGGCTTTGGGTGTTCTCTACATGCCTTGCGCTGCTTCCTTCCAGCCCCTTCCAGCTTTGTTCCGCGGCCCGCCTGCTGCAGCGGGAGCAGCTCGGCGCTGGGCAGCATCCTGGGTATCCCCTCAGAGAAGCCGTCCGGAGCGCTGGGCCAGCACCCGCCGCCCCTTGCCACCAGCAAAGGTGAGCGGTCCCGGTGCCACCGGTGATGGCGGCCCTCGGGGGGGGGGGGTTAACAGCGTTCAAACTCCTCCTTTCCCCCCATAGAGGAGCAGGAGCGGCTGCTGCGGGGTCGGCCCGACCAGCCCCGTAACCCCAAGGTGCTCCGGATCGCCATCATCGGAGCGCCCAACGCGGGGAAGTCCACGCTGTGCAATCAGCTCCTGGGCAGGAAGGTGAGGCTGGGGCGCAGCAGCGAGCTCAGGGCGTTCAGGCCCTCTCTTTGCTGCCAGTGCCGGGTGTTCCATGCCTTTGGGTTGTTGCAGGTCTTCCCTGTCTCCAAGAAGGTGCACACAACGCGATGCAAGGCCCGTGGCGTTGTCACCCATGAGGACACACAGCTGGTGAGCTGCCCTGTGCGGGCGATGTCTTAGAAGTGTGTGTGGGGTTCCCATTCACACCTATGTATATTTCTCTATTTGTACCCCATTATTCCGCATTTCTATCTTGCATTCCATTTATATCCTTCTAATTGCACAAATAAGTTGAGCTTGGTCACAGGCTGCAGGCCAACTTACAAGATTTGTCTTTCCTCTTTCTAGATCATTCTGGACACACCTGGCCTCACTAATCCCTTTAAAGTCAAAAGGTATCATCACCGGTGGTGTGGGGAGAGAAGAGGGGTCATAAAACCAGGGTGATTCCACTGTGCTGAGTTAGGAAACCAGCAGTGACAGGAATGAGGGTTTGAGCCTTGTTTTGGCCTCTGGTGTTTTTATTGTTGCAGTTTCAGTGGTGTCCCTTGGGCCCTGTTGTGTTTGATTCTGCCCATGTGCGTGTAACAGGGGATGTCACAGCCCTTAAGGCAGCCTCGTGTCAGCTGGGATGATGAAAGCACTGTTTCCCCTGCCCCTTTGAGGGGAAGGCAGATGACTGTGATCCCGTGTGTCTGGCTTACTCCTTTGCATCTCTCTTTCAGACATAAATTGGATGAAGCCATGCTGACAGACCCGTGGGACAGCATGAAGCACGCGGACTTAGGTGGGTGCTCAGCTCCTCTTGGGTCAAGCCAAACCCTTTATCTGCCACAGAGGGTCCCTGCCCCATGGCTGTGCTACCTGGGTGCTCACTGGGCAGAAAAGGCATGAAATAGGAGAAAAGGGTGGTGAAAAGACTTAATACTGAGCTCAGGAGGGGATAAGAATTGCTTGGTGCTAAGGGGGAGCAGCCTGGGTTAATAATTGGGTTTGGATGTTAAGTTTTAGCACGTGTGATGTTGTTTGGATGACAGGGATAAATGGCACTTTATAGTTCTGTCAATTAGAATTCTCCTTTCTGGTTCCATCTGCATGGTTCTCTTTAGAAGAGGGAGAAGTAGCAACAGGAGAGCAGCATAAACTGTAGAGAACGTATTGGCTAGTGCAGGTTCATTATATCTCCCTCCCTCTTTCCTGGCAGTTCTGGTTTTGGTGGATGTGTCTGATCACTGGACACGAAACTCCCTGAGCAAGGAGGTGCTGAAGTGTCTGTCCAGGTTCCCCCAGGTCCCCAGTGTCCTGGTTCTCAACAAGGTAAATGAGGAGCTTCTGCCTTCTACAGTGGTTTATGGGGGGCTCTTTAGACAGCACCATCAGCAGTGATGTGAGGCCAGGTCACTGAGGCTGGGTGTGCTTCTGTCCACTTCTGTTGCAGAAGCCTTGTCCTGCAGCAGCTCCTCCCATGGGTGGTTTCCTCTGCTCCTTTGGATCCAGGGCCCCACTGCCAGCCCTATTTAGGACCAATTCCTGATGCCTCCCTCCCTCACTTTAGGTGGATCTGCTGAAGAAGAAGTTCCTCTTGCTGGAGCTGGTCAATGAGCTCACAGAGGGAATTGTGAATGGAAAGAAGCTGGAAGTGAAAGCTGCGTTTGAACAGCATTCCAGCTCTTCAGCAAAGCCTCCTCTTCCCATCACTCAGGCTTCACCATCTGAGAACAGGGCCCCTGAGTCAAGCCTAAATCAAGCCCGAGGTGGCTCTGGCTTGGAAAACCACAGTGGTGTGAAGGCTTCAGAGTGCAGCGTTGTCACAGGAGAGCCACAAGGGCTGGCTCAGAGTGGACCCAAAGGGCTGAGAGACAGGAAAGGCTGGCCAGGCTTCCAGGAGATATTCATGCTGGCAGCTCTCCATGGGGAGGAGGTGGATACGCTCAAGGTAACCAGTCTGAGCTTGAGACTGGGGTGCTCTTACCCTGTGGGACTCCAGTACTTCCAATACTTCATGGCCTGTGGTGAAGTAGCAGAGCTGCTGTTCTCAGCCTGGGATCTGGGGGGGGTGTTGTCAATGTGGAGTATGTCCGTGCTGGACCTCCAGAGTTCTCTCTACAGGACTCTTATTTGGGGCTCTCCAAACAGCAGCTGGCTCATAAAGATGAGGCCACCCAATGCGTTATCTCTGAGCTACAAAAGGTACTGCGGGCTCTTGTAACTCGTACAGATAGCTCTGGGGAGGTGTGACCCTTTGGTAAGCGTTGAGTTGCAGATGTTTCCCTTTCTCCTTTCCCCGCCACTGGTACTAAACTACCAGCAGAAGAGAAGGCTCCTGAAGGGGAGACCTTAGAGCAGCTCCAGTGCCTAAAGGGGCTGCAGGAAAGCTGGAGAGGGGCTTTGGACAAGGGCCTGTAGGGACAGGCCAAGGGAATGGCTTGAACCTGCCAGAGGGGAGACTGAGCTGAGCTCTTAGGCAGAAGCTCTTCCCTGTGAGGGTGCTGAGGCGCTGGCACAGGGTGCCCAGAGAAGCTGTGGCTGCCCCATCCCTGGCAGTGCTCAAGGCCAGGTTGGACACAGGGGCTTGGAGCAAGCTGCTCCAGTGGAAGGGGTCCCTGGACCTGGATTGGAGCTGGAGGAGCTTTAAGGTCCCTTCAACCCAACCCATTCCATGATTCTATGCTCTGATGCCCGACCAGCAGCAGCATCCTCGTCGTGACTCACAGCAGGATGAGGACAGGGGTAGGTGGCACCGTGTGAGTGGTACATGACATCTGATGGTGTGCTGTGTGTTCTGTGTGGCAGCGGTACCTCCTCCTGCAAGCCAAGCCAGGCCCTTGGGAGTTTCACAGCGGGGTCTTGACCAGCCAGTCACCTCAGGAGGTCTGTAATAACATCATCAGGGAGAAGATACTGGAGTACCTGCCGCTGGAAGTGCCCTATGGTGTGACTCAGGTGGGAAGCATGCAGGAGCAGACTTGCCTTTGAGTGTGGGATGGGAATCTCCTTATTTGAAGCTGTGAGATAGATGTGCCAGACTCTTCACAGGCCCCATGGGATAACTTGGAACTGACACAACAGATCTCACAGCGTCTGATGTGTGTTGAAAGGGGCTGGGGAGCCGAGCTGCCCTCTGAGGGAGCAGCATTTGTGGGTGCTGAGGAGCTCTGTGGAAGTGCTGAGTGCTCACTTGATGTTGCAGGTGACAGAGATGTGGGAGGAAGGAGAGTGTGGGGAGCTCCTCATTGTGCAGAACCTCCTGGTCCCAAGGAAGTCTCATATGGTGAGTGATAGAAGACAGATGGGTGCTGGGGAGTGTGAAATGAAGTTCCTTTGCAGCGTGTGTGCATCCTCGCTGTGATGCCCCCTCCTCAGCTGTGGGGTTTCAGCCTGGCACAGGCTGCTCATGCTTATGCCTTTCTGGAGCTGCCCATGGTTTGATCCTGGGATCTCTATCCCTGTTGTGTTCTTGGGGCAGTTCCTTCCTGCTGTTAAGCAGCATCAGGATGAGCTTGGTGAGCTTCTCTTTGGGTTTTAATCCAGATGATGCTGATCGGAAGAGGAGGGCAGGTCATCAGCAGGATTGCTCAGGAGGCTGGCCAGGACCTGATGAACACTTTCCTGTGTGATGTCCGCTTGAAGCTCAAGGTGGAGGTGAAGAGTTGAGCTCTTTGCCCATGTTTTAACAGACTTGAGCTCTCTGCTTGTGCAGAGAAACCGGTCCCGTTTTCCCCCACGGGTCTCTTGGCACCTTTCTTCAATCCAGAAGCAGAGAATGATGGCATCAGGGTTGAGGCCTGAAGCAGGATGTATTCTTCTGTGCGGGAATGGCCCAAACTGAAACAAAACCTTCAGACCTTGGCACAGAGGACAATGGAGCCCAGCACCCTCCTGAGCTGCACATGGATCTGGTGGTCGGAGGCTTGAGTTGCCTCTCTACATGAGGCTGTGCTCAGGTGGTTGGAGCCAGAAATCCAGGCCAATCCCCATGTCCTGTTATACCTCAACACCCCTGAGTGAGGAGAGCCCCGGCTGCTGCCCCAGCAGGGAGGAGATCTGGGATTTCTCTTCCTGCTTGGAACCTTTTGAGCAAGCACCCAGCAGCATAAGATCAGGGAGGTGATTTAGCAACACTGGGAAAATGGAAACTGGGAGCTGCTGGAGGATATTCCACTGATAGGAACGCCTCATGGATCATCCACGAGCTGGGTGGAAAAGCCTCCAGTGAGGGGCTGCCTTGCCCCTGGGACACTGGGGTCTCTGCAACGCTGCTGCCCAACTTCTGTATTTGCCTTGCAATAAAGTGAGGTCACAGCACAACCGATTGTTCCCATCTCCGTTCTTCCTCCCCATCACCCTGCCCTTGCAGCCATCTCCTTCCCTAGGCTTTGTTCCTACTAACTCCAGGCTGCTCTTAGGTTTTTCCTCCTTTATTCCCAGTTTAGCTTCGACCCCATTTCCTGCAGATTGCACCCTGGGGGAGGGGAAAGCCGGGTAAGTGGATATGGAGGGGTTGGTCGTGTGCTGGTGGATGGGAATATGAGGGGAAAGCCATGCCCATGGCATGGGGATGCTGTTGGGATTAGCTGGGATGAGGCACATGGAGCAGGGATGGAGCAGGGGCTGGTCCTGGGGGTGCTGGAGGTGTAGGAAGGGTGAGCTCCCTGATTAATGGGCTCGACAGCAGGGTTAATTAACCATTGCGCTCCCAGTGGTTAATTGACTTTGCCCCCCCCCCCAACACCCGATGCACCGGGCACCGCCAGGGGGCGCCACAGCGCGGAGCGCCCCCCTTGTCCCTTCCCGCGCATGCGCAGGGGGCGGGCCCGGCGGGGCCGTTGGCGGGGGGCGCGCATGCGCGGGAGCGGCTGGCGCAGCCACCACGGCGAGAGCGGGCGGCGGCGGCGGCGAGCGGCGGGGCCGGCACGGGCACAGCGGCGGCGGCGCCATGAGGCCCGGGCAGGGGCACCGAGAGTAAGTCCCGGCTGCGGAGGGGCGGGAGCGGCCTCCGCCTCCTCACCGGGGTGGCGGGACCGGCGCGGCCCACCCCCCCCCCCCATTGTCCTTCCCCGGTGTCCCCTCCCCCCACAGCGTGAGGTGCTCCCGCTGTCGTGACACCCCCCCTCCCCTCCTGTCGCGACAGCGCCTCGCGGAGTTCACCCGCTTCCCCCCCCCCCCGGGGGGTGGCTCTTCCGCTCAGTCCGGTGCTTCCACACCCCCCCCCCCCCGTCTCTGTGAGGGGCCGTGGGGAGCCCCTCTGCACCCCCGACCCTGCGAATGCCTGCCCCCCCCCCCCCCGGTAGCGAATACACAGCGGCAATCGCGATAATATCTCATGAGTCGCGACAGATAAGTGCCTTCAGGAAGCAGGGGGGATTGCGGTCGCAGTGCGTGCGGATCCTTTGTGTAATTCCTTCCCAAGAAAAGTGTCTGTTCGCCAGAGGGGTCCGTAACCACGGGGCGCTCTGATCCCCCCCAGCCATGTGTTTGGAGGGGAGCTGCGGAGCTCCAGTTCCCTCTTTGCAGCCCTTTTACTGGGCAAAGCACTTGAGATGCTGTTGGTTGTGCAGAGCGTGAGCTTCCACAGCAGCACCTGCGAGGGCTTCCGGACATCCTCCATCCTCCTCCCGCATCGCCTCCCGCTGCTCGGTACCCGTTTCAGCGTAGATCCCGAGCGCAGGCTGGGTTAGGTCGGTGTTCATTCATCCCGTTCGCTTCTCACCGCAGCCCTCGGTTTCCTTGTAGCGCATCAAGAAAACGCCAAGTTTATTCGGCAAACTTTTTCTTTGCAGCAACGCTCCCTTCGCTGCGTGTTGCACGAACCCTGCTCTTTGTTGCACGGGGGTGAGGTTGGCTTCTCGAGTGATGTCATTTGTGCTGGAGATGACTTTGTGATTGAATGGATCCTACCGGGCTCCGTGGTTCTCTGTGTGTGTGTGTGTGTGATGGAGAAACTTCATCTGATGCAGCAGCCAGCGGGGAGGATCCAGTGAGCGGAGCGGAGCGGAGTAGGCAGGAAGGGAACGGTGATGGCAGTTGCTTTTCCCCTTCAGCGCGTGTATTTCTGCTCGTGACTTTTTTCCACCTAAAGAATTTGAGCTTGTTGGAGTCCCTTCATTGAGGTAAATGCAGGAAGCAGTGGGAAAGATGCTGTCGAAGCATACTGGAGGTGAGAGCAGGCTCTGGAAGCCAGCAGCCTGGGGAGTGGAGGATGTAAGGGGAGCATTCAGGTCCTGGAAAGCCAGTGCAGAGGGTCTGAAAACTCAGGGAGGGGAAAAGCAGCAGCAAGAGAAAGCAAGAAGCAAATTAACTGATGATTTCTTAGCACAGGAAGGTTCGGATCAAGAGCAAGCATCAGAACAGCGGGTAAGATTTGCCATAAATACAGGATCTAAGCCTTCAGGGAAGAATAATCCCATACAGAAAGTCTGTTTATGGGTTTTTTATATGACATTTACAATGAGCAGAATTTCTGAGGTGAAGAAATCAGAGACTGACCCTTTCCTAGGGGGAGTCACAGGAGCTGGAGGATGGGTTGATGAACAGGCAATGATTTACAAGCATGGCTTCCAATTATTCTCAGTATTCCTCAACTATTTTAAGAAGCCATATTGAGTTCAAGCCCAGCCAGCCTGAGAGTCTGGAGAGAGGAAGCAGGAGCAGGAATTAAGCAAAAATAGAGAAATCTGACATAATGGATGACAAGGGAGAAAATGATTGCAGAAAGATGCCGGCACGCTCCCTGTTCCTTCGTGCTTGCTGTGTGTGTGTTGTGTTACACAGCTCTGGAAGTGTAAGAACGAAAAGGGAAAAGAAGATGCTGAGATAAAAGAAAAGGCAGGTGCTTACATTCTGTTAAGGATCAGCTTTGATACTGACAGTAAGTAGTGACCTTACTTGCTGCTCCCTCGCTGTCATTTCCTTAGCTTCTCAAATGAATAAATAACGGGCTTAGCACCAAACAAATACCATTTAATAAGATGGTATTTTTGTTCCCCCTCTCGCTTCACATTTGCAAACAGATTCACACTTTTTCTGCTTGAGCACAGCCTTGGGTGCTATTTCTGTTAATAACATGAAAAAAATAAGTTGGAGAATGGCCACATAGTATTGAGGGTTTTTTTCCTCTCCAAATGTAAAATTAAGGAACCCTTATGTTCCCTGTAACTTGGATATTTGCCTTCATTTAAGTCTTATTTGTATTTGTTTCAAGTTGTCATCTGATAGATAAGCTTTTAGATCTGCATGTGCTTCTGGGAACTGTAAGTAGATCAAGAGGCGAGGAAGGGATTTAGTCAAGGACTGTGTTTGCCAGAGATGCAGACTGCTGTGTGATGTACAGGAGCCTCAGCTCATATCCTCACCTGCACTTGCTGGATATGGGATAGAAACTTGTATAGTTTCCTCTCCAGTGCAGTAGTTTTCACCTTGGTTTGTTCATTCATCTTTATTCTGCTTTGGTCTTGACCTGGGCTGACACACAGAGAGGGGCAGAGGAAGAAGGAGAGGTGGTTGCCCTGATTGCCCCTACCCCAAAGCCTCTATCACAGAAACATATTGTATCCTATATACTGCTGGCTTGCTCATCTTCAGTGAGTGGACTTGCTGATTTATGGAGGTAGGAGATGAAGTAATGTCCATTCTGCATTTCTCTAAAGCTTGGTAGCTCCTAGGATTCTGGGATTTATGGAATTACTGAAGACACCACTGAGAGCATAGCCACAACCTGACTTGCTTGATTTATTTAACAGATGATCAGAACTTTCACATAATTGCTTTGAGAACATGTAGTTCACTGAAATACTACACCCAGCAGTGGAGTAGCAGGTCACTCCCTCACGTTGTAGACTAACAGGGGCCTGCTGACTCCTCTGAAGCTGTTTATGGGGTAAGATGCTCCTGAAGATGAGTAAAAGCTTCAGCGTTTTCCGCATGGAATGTATCATCCCACCATTCCCGATTTTCAGCATTTAAAACATTTCCAAACTGGGAAGTTAAGTGAATAATTCAGATTCTTACTCCTTGTGTGCCATTCCATATTCCCACTTTCCCATTGTATTCTGGGACTCCTATTAAAATCATAACCATAACGGTCTTGGAGCAGTTTTTCTTTCAATTGCAGATCCTTAGTTTGAATATGAATGCTGAAAGGAGTTTTGTCACACTCTTCATCTTTTTTCTTCCCCCCCCAAATCGCTTTCCAACTACTGATTCAGCTGCTCAGGACCATTGCTCCTGAAAAGGCATTCTGCTGACTGGCATCCAAAACAGTCGGCTTTTGCTTTGTCCAAAAATACTTTTCCAATGGATTGTATTCCTCAAAAGCTGCTGGTTTCCATGTTTTTAGTGATTTTAGTGACCTAGCTCAGGTTAGATCTAAGGCAGAAGCTCTTCCCTGTGAGGGTGCTGAGGCGCTGGCACAGGGTGCCCAGAGAAGCTGTGGCTGCCCCATCCCTGGCAGTGCTCAAGGCCAGGTTGGACACAGGGGCTTGGAGCAACCTGCTCCAGTGGAAGGGGTCCCTGCCCGTGGCAGGGGTTGGAGCTGGATGAGCTTTAAGATCCCTTCAAACCCAAACCATTCCATGATTTAATGGGCACTTAAAAACCAACAGTGATGATGGCCTGTGGCTGATCTGGCTTCATAGACTCTGCAGACCCCTCTTCCTTAATTCAGTACATTCTCTCTGGGTGTCTCTTTGTGTCTCCCCAATCATTTCATATTTGATTTGTTGTTGCTATAATTATTCTCCCCCTGCGCTCAAGAATTATGCATAGTTTACATATTCCCAGTGCTTAACTTAATTATACTGTGTTTGAAGCTTAGTCCAAGTTTCCAGGGTTTGTGAAGAAAAT